GGATAGAATCCAGCCTTTGCAGAAGGTCGGGATGAGCGGCAATCTCGTCTGGAGTTAAGTCACCGCGGACGCCCAAGCTGCTAGCTGGAACAAAAACGCATGGATTGGCCACGTCAATACATGTGGCTGGAACACCGTCGAACTCGTCCCTTGTCTGCCCCGTCGGCAGCATCTTCCCGGTCACCGAGCCAGCCGGGTTGACAAAATCTAATTGAATCCTAGCAGCTGTGCCGGCAACGCCATCAATAGCGAAGTCGCCGCTAGAGGCAGCCTCGCCGTCCACCACGGGAAAGGAGGCAGTGATTATTTTCCCGGTATTAGTGTTGTGGATGCGTACAGTAGCCGACTCGGGCGTTTGGGAAGAAACAAGCTTTTGGTCAAGGGCAAAGGGACCAATGGCACTTATCATATTGCCACAGTTGCTGGAGTAATCGACATCGGAATTTTTGACCCCCAACGACACAAAAGTGTAATCGACGTCGGCATCGGGGTGAGTGGATCTCCCCACCACGCATACCTTGGAGAGGCTGGAGATACCCCCTCCCAGGCCATCAAGCTGCCGTCCGTATGGATCAGGGCTGCCAATGACGGAGCGAAAGATGGCGTTCCACTCCGAGCGAGGAGGGAGATGGGCCTGATTGAACATGACGGCGCGCGAGGTGCCTCCGCGGTAATAGGCCGCAGGGAGGGAGTGTTGCTTCGACAAATAGCGCCTAGCGCTAAAAGCGACCCGATTTCGATAGGTATATTTGAACATGATGGTGGTTTGATGGTTAGGAACAACGTTTGTGCAAATGATTGGGTAGTTTTTAATGTTGTCTCCAGGACAGGGATTAAGGTTGCCATCGGATCCATCCGATACAAATTAACCGGTCACAGCCGCGCTCATCGGCTCATCCGATCGCAAATCGCTTTATGGATGTCTCCAATCCACTCCTCACCAAGAGACACAGGTATACCTAGTGCCTGAGATGAGAAATACGTTGAAGTATACAATTTGAATGCCAGATGCATATTACAGAAACAGCTAGCTTGACTAGCATCGGCAAAATCTCATCGGCGGCGTCAGGCCCAGCCGTTGACCCGAGGTATTGAGACCGCGACAGATCGTATTGGGCCTGGAGTAGAAGTGTCATGATTGAATCTGGCCGTACGATTGATCCTGGTTGTGAATCTAAGGCCTCTTTCCAATCCAGTCCGGTTCATATGGAAGCCGATGGGCAAGTGGTGAATGGAAACCACCCCCAGCGCCACCTTGATACATCTCAATTAGCTCGACGTCGCTCCCCACTCTCCGTAGAAACATTAGAAGAGAACGCTCCAAACATCTGCCGTGCTCATGTCTATTCCCTCCATGAATAGGTCAGCCCATGGGAGGTCCATTTGAACGTCAGGAAGACGTAACGGTGAGTCATGAGCATAGGCATCTGAGGCTGGGTTGCTAGCCTTGGAGGAGAACGTGTGTGCTCGAAGTCCAAACCAGGTTTGGAACTCGGTATCAATACTCAAGTCTGCCTGATCTTCATGTTCGAATAAGGACATAATCGACTGGCCAAGCCGCTCTATAATCCTGCAACACTTTTCTCCGACCGCACGGCCATCGCAAATGCCCCGGAAGAGTGTAAGAAATGTAGATATATTCGTTTGAATCACCGGCTTGGTCAATTCTTGCCGCAAGGGTGCAAATGCTCGCAGAGAATACAGCATTGTCACGGCTGCCAAGAACAACGAGTGAATTGCGATGAACGTATATTTGATGCGGTTCCGCGCGTACAATGCGCTATATGAGCTTATCAGACCAATTGCAGACTCGGTGCAGGTCCGCAGATCATCTGGGGATGGCATTGGGACCGCACGTGAGGGACGGTAAAGTGAAAGAACGGCGTGATGGAAAGCAATCTGAAACCACTCAGTGGACTGGAAAGTAGATAACGTCTGCATATAGCGCGGCGCTGTTATTATCCACTGATTCAGCTCCAGAAAATATCCACTGCGAAGCCGATCCAGGTCAGCAGGATCAGTTGGGACAGAACCAATGGAATGAAATGTCTTGTAAACACCGGCGTTGATTCGACGGAGCTTAATAATGTGGACAAATGTTGACGTGTCAGCCACATGCGGTATCACTGACTCCTGGACGTTGGGGCTTTGAATAGATTCAATGAGCTGGGCATCCGTTAGCTGCATAGGCAAGGGCATGCTGATATCTGAGTTTTGGATTCCCAATGGTCGGCCCATGTTGATAGCCACACTGCAATTGATCACGTATGCGCACCAGAATACACGTTTAGACATCTCTGCATCCATGATGTCTTTCCCAGAAATGCTCTCCTTGCGGTGAAGGTCAAGGCCGATGGCTAAATTAAGGGCCATAGCGGTTGTGAACCACATATTGACTGACTGGGGTTCATTATGGCCATACATACACAGTAGAAGAAGACACTGAACACATTCAATATTCTCGCCGCTCAAAACTAAGTCCAGGTCTTTTATGGCTTCTTTGAAGAATACCCGATGGATCTTGTCGCGAGTTTGGGGTGATGACTTCTCTGTTGACGCAATGGCACAGACGATGTTAACCATGAAACTGGTCAATGGTCTCATCTCAGACTTCGTCAGAAAGGGTGTCAAGTGTTGGTTGACGAATGTATGCCGATGTAATACTGGTAAATATGGCCATCGCCTGTCGAAAAACGCGGCAGCCAGATTAATGTACGTGTCATTGTCGAGACTTAAGCCATCGGTTTCAAGAACTTCGATGTCTGTGATATCACCCCACAGCTCCCAAGCGCTGCTCATCGCACTGCGGTTCTCCCTTCTGGAGCTAAATTGCAATGAGAAGGTTGGTCTCAGTATCCGACTATGGAAGCGACAATCTGGATTCCCTCTGAATTGGCCAGACCGAGATATAGCCTCAGCAGAGTTATGCCCAGGCAATGGAGGATTAGGACTTGGAATCTCAGAGTCATTTGATCGAACAGAACTAAGGGCCTCGAGCAAGCGGGTCTCTAGCTGCTGACACCTTTCAGACAGCTCATTACTTCGTCGCTCAGCAGCAGCAAGTTGGGCCCGTAGGGCATCACAGTCACAATTCAGAGCTGGGTGCTGGATCACTAATCTATCCGACATGACGCATGTCGTTTCAGCAGCGGCGCATGGACCGCAAGTTGGCATTCTCCCATCACACTGGCTTCTTTAGTGAGTAATTATTTGACTCAATGGTATGTCACTGACCTTCTGCTTGCGTCGTCGACACCGTTGGCATGCCGCCACACTTCGAGGTAAACCTCGACGATGACGACGAGGGGTTGAGCCCGATGGACTTTCACTCATCGAAGCCATAGCTTCTATGGCACTTCAGCGTACAGTAGCGTAGCTGTTGAGGATACATTGAGGCCCATGCGCAGGATGGAAATTCCAGTTCGTCTCTGCTTGTACAACGAAGAGCCTCGGGCTTGGCATTTATTACTAAGCCGTCCATTTATACTTTGCATTAAGGCCTTCATTTACTGATGCTCGTGTTGAGTGGAGGCACTCATAGGATATCTAATTCTCACAAAAAATTCATGTGCTGCCTGGGTTCGATGGTCTCTGTTCAGTGACGCGCTTGTGTAACAAAAGTAAATGCTCAGTGAATATACAGTCGGCCCGGGTTATCCACCATCATCTTCCAGTAGGCATCATCTCCCATCCAGTCATGCAATCTTTGGAGAATTGCATGGTTGTCGATCATCCTGAATGGTTCTTTGCTTCCTATTGACCTTTTTACCCGGTTGTGTCCGTCACCCGTGTGTGGCCAATCGCTTCCCCAGATGACCTGATCAGGGATCTCTCTGGCCATTGCCTGAACGATAGGCTGCAGGTCTTCAAAGGTTGAGGCTGAGTAATCTGACATACGATATAAACCGGAAACTTTTACATATACAATCGATTGTTTTGCTAATGACAAGAGGGAGCGGAATCCCAGCTGGGACGTTGGCGTCGATTGTAACTCCGAAGGTAGCTTAGATGTGCCACGCAAGCCACCTAGATGGTCTGCAATAACCCTAACGGGGAGCTCACGAACAGCATCATGCAGGACTATAGTATGTCAGTCACGAAAGTTGCTATACATTGTCATTAGTAGATAAGTACTCACGGTCCCATGTCCATCCTGGAACAAACAACTGGATCGCCCAGCCTGGAAGATTGCGTATGCGGTCTGCAGTACGGTTCAAAACGCTTATCAGACGTGTAATGTCGACCTCTTTCCCATCGGCTTGGAAGTTGAGTCGAATACCTCGTACTCCAAGGGTGTGCATTTCGTTCAGTTGCGCATCAGTAGTAGTGTCGAGATCTAACACTGCGATTCCAAACGATCTGATGCCTCTGTTCCTCAATTCTCGCAGGCAATGCATCATAACTGTGCAGTCGTTCTTGTAAGGCGATGGCTGAACCAAGACAAGAGTAGTATTGTTGTAATCCCTTGCTAGGCTCCGATTCAACGCCAGTAATTTTTGCAGCGGCGCATCCTCGGGGGTATATGCTCTCCCTGCAGCATATGGGCCTAGCTTGGGATCAAATACATGGACATGCGTATCGAATGACTCCGTTGAGAGAAGGAATCTAGATGAATTAGCTTCAACGGCTGTCGTTTCCGGATGTACCTACGGTGTATTGGAGCGCCTCTCATGGGTGGCTAGAGCTTGTGACAGCATTGTGTAGGTAGCCCGTTGGTAAACCATGAATCGCGGTAGACACCCACGCAGAAGATTGAGCTTTGATATTAACATCGCAAGTTCCTACCACTCAACGCTGCACTTCCTAACCATCCCCTCCCTTGGCATCAATGGTAAGTGGTTGATCCCGGCGGCACTCCTCTTCGGGAAAGCCGATACATCCGAGGTTTCGCACCGGATGTATCCGACGAGCAACACGATGGTCGGTCAATCATTAGAGCATTAATTCCAGCAATTGATTAGACAGAATTTTCAGTTCATTGGAGGGATAATGTTTAAAACATGTCACAAGCAGTAGCTACTCATACCACGACTTTGCAAGGCACTGCCGAGCAAAAGCGCCCCATTCCCTATCGGAACTTGGCAGTCGGCGCGTTAATGAACATCTTCCAAGGTAATGAGAAATCTACTTGCCAAGAACCTTTCTAACTTTAGATAGTTACGTCTCTTGGACAACCGCTAGAAGTAATCAAGACCCATGTATGCTTGACACCCATCCATATTGATTCGAGTTATTCCTGACGACTTACCCTTCCAGCTGGCAGCACACCGGCAAGACACATTGCGGGATGCATTCCAGAAGACTTGGTCCCGCGGAAGGTTTCTTGCTTTTTATCAGGGGCTAATACCTTGGGTACGTATTCCATCCATCTAGCCCCCTCGCCTAGCCACGATTTATACTAATTCCCACAGGCTTGGCTGGAAGCCTCCACCAAAGGTGCCATTCTGATAGTAACATCAAGTGAGATCGAGTATCATGCCAGATCAATGCTCAATGCACCACCTACGGTCTGCGGTGTTCTGGGTGGCATTGGTGGTGGCGTTGCGCAATCGTATCTTACGATGGGCATGACGACATGCATGAAAACAGTTGAAGTGACCCGCTCAAAGATGAGTGTTGGAGGTGCCCGAGTACCCGGGGCTCTGGAAATGTTCTTCCAGATTATTCGCGAGAAAGGAATTCGCGGAGTGAACAAAGGCGTTAATGCTGTCGCGCTACGACAGGTTACAGGCTGGTCTTCTCGGATTGGTATATCGCGTTTTGCGGAAGAAAGCATCCGAAAAGTCAACGGAAAGCCGAAGGACGAAAAGCTTAAATTTGGAGAGAAAATCCTGGCATCCACTATTGGCGGTGCACTGAGCTGCTGGAACCAGCCATTCGAAGTAGGCGTCCCTGAGATGTACGGAATAAGGACGTCCGATTGCTGACTCTACAGGTGTTGCGCGTGGAAATGCAATCTATGAAGAATGATCCCGCCCGGCCAACTTCTCCGACAATTCTATCCACATTCAAGTATATCGTTGCGACGACAGGAGTCAAGGGTCTGTTTCGCGGTGTGGTTCCTCGCATTGGGGTTGCGGCATGGGCTACGATCTGTATGGTAGGATTTGGTGATACGGTTAAAGAGATTGTTAATCGCAAATGATGCATAGAAAAGTGCAGATAGAAAGGTGATAGGTCGTGTATGCATAGAGCTTGCAATCCCTATTCCTATAAAAGCCATGTTGGTGGGAAAATAACAGATTTCCTAAGATATCGGAACTCGTCATGTGGAAAATATATAATGGCTTTAGCCTGCTACGGTCAACACTTTACGTTCCTGGTACGATTACTACTAGCTTTCCCTTGATCTACTTTAATCTCGAGATATACCAAGTGAACACATCGTCGCCGGGATCACCTACCTCAGATCCACACCGAGGATATCTCGAAGGCCAAGAGAACCACCCAGTTGGATGCACTTTTATCTGCCCTTCCCGACGGCGTTCTTTAGGTAATGGTGTTACTAATTGATTGCATGATTGCCTGGACTATCAGCAAGAACACTGCGAACGATAATGCCTCTGGGTGTGGTAAGGCTGATGCAAGGAACAGTGGATATGGCGAGATAAGGATACTCGCGGAATCAAGCAAATACCAAGCCTCCACCTTCCCCCCTTTTCCTCTTTATGCGAAGCATATTGCTTCTCCCCCACTGAGGCGTAGTGCGTTCATGCCGAACCTATCATATTGACTCATTAGTGGGGTGCTAAGTATCTATCTGTAAGGCAAGAATGGTACTGGCTCTGTCAATGTCTCTGTAAACAGTGCACTAATCAACAGCCTAGCTGGATAGTCATGAGTATGAAGGGGAGTCAATGCGAATTCTTCTAGGAGACAGTGGGAGATCAATGTAATACAGCCAAGAGTGTCATGTGACACAAACAGCAGGTAAGATGCCTAGACACTCCAACTCTCACCCATCCAAAGTCTCGCGAAAGTCGTTTTGTCTGCAGGGGCGCCACTCCAAGCTCCCTCTGGACTTAAGTCCATTCATGATAATTTTTCAAAGACCAATGCGCATGAGCAGGCAACTCAGTTTTTGAATATGCACGGAGTGATATTATGCAGGTCGATTCTGGCCACCGAATCTACCATTACATCCAAGGAAAGAAGCAATTTCAGGGAATTTACACCCCCATGAGTCCCACTCGACTAGCTGATACAGCGCCACTTGGTGTTGTGTGCCACATGCATGAAAGAGGGGTTTGGGGAAACGACGCTGATTAGAGGTCAACAGCCCAGGATGGGCAAGCTACACATCACACTAGAAAGCTTGTCTACGATCATCCGATGGTGAGTTGCTGATGGCATCTTGCAACGATATGGCGATGCTGTGACTATCACTGGTCATGTACCGCCTAGTCGGACAATTATATTCGTTGTTGAACCTTCGCCACTGAGACATCAAATTAAAGCCTGTTTTGGGCCCCAAACATTATTCCGCTACAAAAAGTCATGAATGATCAGGTGTTAATGCCATCCCATGGTAGGCTGCACCCAGACACACAAAGTAGATCCTATCAGCTGGTGAACTAAATCACGGAGGCCGTGGGGAACCGAGGATTACACTGGGTGCTTATCTCTACAGGTGCGTGCCTCAATCAAGTTATTCGGTGTGGTGTACTGAATCATTGGCTGATACAATGCACTCCCAAGCACCCGACCTCCTGAGTCTAGAATCCATGGCGATATCTGCCCACGATGATTTGATCTCGATGTTGTGACATCCTGTTCTCAGGCCTGTCAGTAAACTCCTCGAGCGCTTAGTTCATGCCTCTTTTCTTTTAATTTTCAAAGTATATGCGCTGTGCATAGGGGTGCTGTGCTCGCCCGGGTCAATGCTTCGGAGATGCGTTGGAGCTCCGACGCAAGGTGGACTCTCTGTGCCACCTCCTCATCGGCCTGATAGAAGCGAAGTCAAAAACAACCACTTACGAGTCTCCAATTTCGAACAGCGCGAATATTGTGCCGTTGAGTATCACAATTTAATTACCATCGCGATAAGATACCCGTTGGTGGTGTACGCGTTCCCAAGATGATTGGTGATTTCTCAGAACAGTGTGCGGCCGTGCCTTTCATGGACTTATCCCCCCGCAGATGGTTATCAGACTCGCTTCGGGAATACTGTTCGGCCACGTGTGACACCGCCAATAAGATTACCCCCATATCTCATCCATCTCCCTGGTGTATCGCAATGGGTCATTTTCGCCAACCACTATTGAAAGACAAACCGCGAAAAGCCAATTGCGTCTTAAAATTGGCGCACTAGCATCTGTATAGGCTTCATTCAATCCTGCCACAACGTCGCTATCACCCATGATACAATCGTAGCGCACCTGGAGACCGGATTCCCGGCACATTGTTCGCAATGTCCTTCGATAATGGCGAACTAGAGGCTTCATGGCATTAGCCATTTACATAGCGGCTCATGCGATTGGACATTACGAGAAAAGCCGGGCATTTCATTTATCACCGGCGAAGCGGGGAACTGCACTTGGCCGTCGCATATGGTGTAGTCCAGCCAGTACTTTCACTAGCGAAATGAACAGAGTCCGTTCTCATTGGAACCAGGGGCTAGCAAGTCGTTATCATTCTCTTCGAGCACATAGACCCGTATCCGGTAATCCGGTTTCTGGCCGTCTTGCCTCCAGATAACGGGGTGTACGAGTGCTCGAGATGGCGCTTAGCACAGCGAACGACATATATAAGGCCACATCAGGTCACAGATTTAATGCAACGGTTCTTTTCAAACAATGCGACCGTCTCGTTCTTGAACCAATACTGGCATGGCAGACGAGGTAACCGACAGTCCCGTCTCCACCCCTGCGGTGGAGGTCAATGAGAAGAAGGATGACTTGCTGGTCAAGGAGTCTGTGGACATCCATGATGTGGAAGTCGCCCCGGGCTTCGTTGCTGAGGCGGACTTCAAGGGGAATTTCAACGATGTTCCCATCGGGGAGGGTATTATCCCTGAGGATAGTGACGAGTTCATCGATCCACGCCTGAAGGACTATCCCATACCCTTGGTGGCTAAGACGGTAGATCTTCGCAATGACCCGACGTAAGCTTCTTGTTCCATTCTCAGGGTTGATCGCATGGCTGATATCCAACCTACGCAGTGAACCAATCCTAACCTTCCGATTCTGGGTTCTGTCTACCTTCTGGGTGCTTGTTGGCTGCGCACTTTCCACCTTTTACTTCTTCAAGCCGTACTACAACTCAATCACCAGTTATGCCGTCCAGTTGCTATCCTGGGGCATGGGTGATGCCATGGCTCGTTATTTACCCACAAGGCAATTCAGCTTCTTTGGATGGAAATGGTCGATGAACCCAGGTCCCTGGAACGCTAAGGAGCATGCACTTATTGTTGTGGCCTACTGGGGTAGTGTGAGTGACTTTCCTTCACGCTGATAGTGCGCTTGTCAAGCTGACAAGAACAGTGCTACACGGCTATCGGAATGGGCCCCTTGTCTGCCATCGAACTCTACTACGGCGAAAAGCTCAACGCTGGGTGGTCTATGTTCTTCTTGTTGGCCTCTCAAATGATCGGATATGGCTTCGCGGGTCTCTTCCGTGATATCCTGGTTCGACCCCCGAAGATGTATTATCCCGGAGTGCTGCCCAACGTGGCACTGTTCAATGCGATGCATCGGAACCCATCCGTCACGAAGAAAGCCCTCAAGTACTTTGCCATCATCGCATCTATCACCTTTGTGTATGAGTGGCTTCCAGAGCTCATTTTTCCTTTGCTGAGCTCTCTTCCTTTGATCTGCTGGTTTGGCCATGGTAACTGGAAGGCCTTTGTCCTGGGATCGGGTACCTACGGATTTGTCCGTTCCCATCTGTATACCTACAAAGTAGAATAGGACTGCTAACCTTTGAGCATAGGGTATTCTGGACTTGTCGCTTGATTGGAACTACATCACCTACATGTATCCATACTATACACCGCTCTGGTCTAGTATGAACCAATGTATCTTCATCATTCTCTGTGTCTGGATAATATATCCCGCCATCTACTTCACCAACACCATGAACGCACAGAACTTTGCACCAATGGATACCGGTACCTACACTGCCAATGGCAGCACTTACGACGTTACGGCCATCGTTGGCTCCAACCTTGAGGTTAACCGCACTGCACTGGCTGAGTACGGGTCCCCTTACTGGGCTCCATCATATGTGTTCTACTGGTTCTGGACCTTCGCCGCCCTTACAGCCTCTATGACCTACGCAATCCTGTGGTACGGCAAATCGGGCTGGGAGGATTTCAAGAACGCATGGAGCAATAAGCGCAGCGACTATGATGATCCCTACCTCAAGCTCATGTCCTTCCAAAAGCGGGTACCCCACTGGTGGTATCTTAGTCTGCTTGGAATATGTGCGGTGATCGCTATTGCTCAGGGCTACGAAGGAAACATGAAGCTGTCAGCGTGGGGCCTCATTGTCATCTGTCTATTTTCGTTTATCTTCACCTGGCCCAACGGCATTTTGTGGGCTGTGGCCAACACGCAGGTCGGAATGGGCTCGTTCAGTGATTTACTGGCGGGTGCCATGTTCCCCGGGAAGCCGACTGCCGTGCTTTCAGCCTATACGTACGGTTACTGTGTTTTGGAGCAAAACCTCAACCTCATTTCTGACTATAAGTTCGGGTTCTACATGAAGATCCCGGAGCGAGAGATGTTCTGGGGTCAGGTCTGGGGCACCATGCTCGGTCCATTCATCAATTACGGCTTCATGCAATTGATCGTTGACCGGGAACGGCCTTACCTGATTGGCCAGCGGACCTCAGAGGCGTGGGATGCTGTGCAATCCCGTGTTTACTATTCTAACTCCATCATCTGGGGCATCCTGGGTCCTAAGGAGTTCTTCGGTGAACGCTACCCGTGGGTGTACTACTCTTTCCTCGTGGGTGCCGGGGCTGTATTTCTTACCTGGCTTGTGCAAAAGTGGAAGCCCCGGTGGGACATGGAACGTTGGTTCAACCCTACGTTGATGTTTTATGGGGGCATGCTATTTCCGACGTACCCGACTGCTAACTTCTTCATGTCTTTCCTGGCCTGCATCCTGTTCATGGGCATCCTTCCTCGGTATTGCCCGGTATGGTGGAGAAAGTACAACTATCTGACGGGGGTCGGTCTGGATTGTGGAACGCAGCTCATGACCTTGGTAGGTTGTCTTCGCTGACTTGATGGTGCTGAAACTAACTTGCTGCAGGTTTGCATCTTCATTATCAATCTGCCTAATCTGTCGTTTCCTTCGTGGTGGGGCAATGATCCAAATGCGACTGATCGGTGCTTCCCTCCGGCTGATCTGCCTCCATATGCATTGAACTGATGACTGGGGTGTCAATTTCGGTACAATCATGAGTGGATGTTGCTTTACATGTGCGATGTCTACAACGTACGAGTTTTTATTGCCTTTTGCGTCACGATGTCGGTTATCCTTATTGTTTCGAATCATTCCCCTGCCTTGTATATACACAACCGCTCTGCTATGTTGCGATCTTTTTGGAGAACACTGTATATAGCACCTGCATCATTACACTATTGTTTACAAAAGCCATCCTGTTCCACTTGAGAGAGTACTAGCTGAGTGAGCAGGTCTTGTGCAATTGAATCTGTCTCCAGTCTGTGGAGTTTTTAATGCCCCCTAGCCGAAGAGGATATCAGAAAGAGAAACGCGACCATCTCAAACCAGAACACTGACGATGAATAATCTGGAAAGTAAATCCCGACAAAAAGCATGTCATACTTCGAAAATCTGTTGATCAAGCAATCCAAGAGATGCGGAACCGAGTGCATACCTACCTATGACGTAATGGCCATGTTCATATGTTCATCAATGGATTCAGATAAGATATCAATCATCATCACGATAATCGGAGCATATACTTCCAGTCTAACTCATTATCATCATGAAAATCGCCCTCTTCGGCTCGACCGGCCAAATCGGCCAGTCCGTCCTGCGCGCCCTCCTCACTAAGACCTCCCACGAGGTCCTTCAATTAATCGCACCGCAATCCGAATCCACTGCTCGCTCTATAAACAAGCAATTCACAGCAGAGCAACAAAGCCGTCTACGCACTGAACCAGTGGACATTCTCTCCTGCACCGTAGACGACCTCGTCTCTCATCTCGCCGATGTCGAGATCATCATCAGCGCCCTGAACGGCAAAGCGCTCCAAGCACAATCCAAGATCCAAGATGCTGGGGCAAGGACAGGAGTTAGGCGATTCTACCCCAGTGAATACGGTATGCATCATGTGTATAGACCGCCGGGGGATGAAGTTGGGTATCTTCATCCGGTAATTCTACACCATATCAAATACGAGACAACCCATCAGACACTGATAACATATACTACAGATGTGGAATACCAAATCCGCCGCCAACGAAGCCTGTCTACACCATCCAGCTATAAAATCAGGCTCTATGACATACACCCTTGTCGGCTGCGGGGACTTCTACAACCAATCTCGTGAGGAGATATGGTGTCCGTGGACGAACCCTCATGCATCTGAATACACACTGCATATACTCGGCGACGCGGATGCCACTATTGATTTCACGCACATTGACGATCTAGGAGAGTTTATCGTCGAGACGATCAAGCATCCGGAACGGTCGGAGAACCGGACGCTGAATTTTGTGAGTGATCGTATCTCGTATAATGAGATTGCACAGTTACTGGAGAAGTACTCCGGGAAGAAAGTGAAAAAGACAGTGTATCCAATCAGTCTAATGGATGAGGTGTGGAAGGATAAGGAAAGGGTACCGGCGGAGGTAAAAGGGAAGGGAGCATTTCCGATTGATTTCTGGATTCTGGTTAAGGGGATGCAAGGGGCTGGGAGGTTTTGGAGACCGCCGGGGGAGGTGCATAATGGGGAGTTTGGGATGGAGGGGAGGACGTTTGAGTGGTATTTGAGGGGGTTGTTTGGAGGTGGATATGAAGTTTGATGAGTGTGCTGTTATGGCTATAGAATATGTATCTATTGCAATTGTTGACTGCGTACTTCTAGGGCGTGTCCAAGACATTGAGCAGACTATTTTAGGGTCTGCTGTCGAACCCCCGCATGGGACACCGATTGGTGTATTTACATGACTCTTCCATGTCCATCTTTGCCTATTTCAGTCAGTCATCGTACGATCAAGCATCTTGAAGCTTCGGTTGCATGTCGCTTGACCATGGCAATACACTTAATCACCCGAGAGTTTATCAACCTCAATCGCAGTATACCTCCAAAACGTACCAGAGAAAATCTACTGATACCTCATCCCAGATCATTACAAAATACATTTACTAATTCTTTCAACAGATACCAGCACAACCCCGCAGTCCACGCCCGTCAAAGTCAAACAATATCACCACTTAATATAACCTGCATCAACCTGCAGCAACACTATTCCGCATCCAACACGGCACATCCAGAAACCTGCCACCATGCAAACACCGAATCATTATCCCGCAATGCTTACGTCTACTTCAAATAGCCTAAATCAGGCGAAGCCAAATCCGGACACGATAGACACTATTGGCCTCGCCTGCAGATCTTAACCGGACCTGCAGGTGCATCATTGACGGTTCCCCGCACGACCAGCTCAGCTACATAAGCTATGCTTTTTTTCACTCTCTTTCGGTCACCGATCTGTCTGCTTTCACCGTGTCTGCCTAGCTATCCATTGAGTGAAGACTGAACAAGATGTGGTGGCTTCTCACCTCGTCCGTACTGTTAGTGCCGGCTACAGCCCTGGTTCGACCTGACGGCGTGGTATGTCAGTTTCATTCCTACCATGTCTATCTCTCGACTAAGAAGATTATCATCAATTGTAGGGCCGCACTCCTGCCCTTGGCTGGAACTCATGGAACGCATACAGCTGCGACATTGACGCCGACAAGATCGTGACTGCTGCCAATGAGGTGGTCAATTTGGGGTTGAAGGACTTGGAATATGAGTATATCAATAGTACACCGCACCCCCCTTTATCCCCACTACCCATTGGCACAGTTGACTTACAGAGACAGTCGACGACTGCTGGTCCGTCAAATCCGGCCGCAACGCCACCACCAAACGCATCATCCCCGATCCCGACAAATTCCCTAACGGCATCTCCGGCGTCGCAGACCAAGTGCACGCCCTGGGACTGAAACTGGGAATCTACAGCAGTGAGCACATACCCCAACTCCATCTACCCCCAAGGAATCACCACGGCTAACCAAAGTAATATGAATACTAAGGCGCCGGCCTCACCACCTGCGCCGGCTACCCAGCCAGTCTAGGCTACGAAGAAATCGACGCGCAATCATTTGCTGAATGGGGTGTTGACTGTATTTCCCCCATTACTCACCGATAACCTCTATTCTGACAAAGGGATAGACCTCAAATACGACAACTGTGGCGTCCCCACCAACCTCACAGACCAATACACCTACTGCGTCCCCGACACCACCGACGGATCCAACTTCCCCAACGGCACCTGCGTGGACCTGACCGACGCTGCACCACCGGGATACGACTGGGCCACCTCCACCACAGCGAAGCGATACCAGCGCATGCGCGATGCCCTACTCAGCGTCAACAGAACGATCCTCTACTCACTATGTGACTGGGGCCAAGCGGACGTCAACGCCTGGGGGAATGAAACGGGGAATAGCTGGCGCATGTCGGGGGATATTACCGGTATACCCTACCCTATCCCTTTGATTACAGACAATGCTCTTTAAGGATGCTATATACTAATAAAGATACCCGGTGGATAGCAACATGGTCCCGCATCGCCGAAATCGCCAACGAAAACAGCTTTTACATGAACTACGCCAACTTTTGGGGCTATCCGGACCCGGACATGCTGGAAGTCGGGAATGGGAATTTGACTCTCGCTGAGAATAGAGCGCATTTCGCCTTGTGGGCGATGATGAAGGCGCCGTTGATTATTGGGACGCCTGTATACCTTTCCCCTTCCCCCTTCTTCCCTATACACCTGATCAAACAAATTCTAACATAATCTTGATGGTATTGTGTAGTTGGATTCCATCGACACCTCCCACCTCACCATCCTCCTCAACAAACCCCTTCTCACCTTCCACCAAGACGCCGTGATCGGGCGCCCCGCGTACCCATATAAATGGGGATATAACCCCGATTGGACGTTTGATGCGGAGCATCCGGCGGAGTATTGGTCTGGGCCGACGTCTTCCGGGGAGGTGTTTGTGTTGATGTTGAATTCGGAGGACGGGGTGAAGACTCGTACGGCGGTTTGGGGGGAGGTGCCTGAGTTAAAGGGGAAGAATAAGGATTCGAAGGGAAAGAAGGGGAAGAAAGACGGTGGGTATAAGGTGACGGATGCGTGGACGGGAAAGGATTTGGGTTGTGTGAGGGATAAGTATGAGGCCAAGTTGCAGGCGCATGATGTGGCGGTTTTGGTTGTTGGGGAGGAATGTTAGTTCAATCTTTCTTCTCTCTTCCTTTTTTGAGTGTTGGGTTGGGTGATGGGGATGGTGGTTACTATATATATAGTATTGTGGGAGCGTGGGGATCATGGATGATGGTATAGTCATTATCATTATATTGCTCCAATCGCTATGCTGCCTCGCTGCTGCCTCGATGCTACCTCCACAAATCTTGTCGGCTCTCGCGTCGCCATCCCCCGCTGCTCTTTGGTCGTCCATCGTCCACTGGCACTGCCAGGAATCCACCAAATCCATTGCCCACTAGCACGCTCTTGCGTGCGTCTCCGCCCCATGACCGACTGAGCTGCGCGTCGTGGAAGCTCACCGGTCGGGTTGTGCCATCGCGCCGTCCTCGTGTTGATGGTGGCTCGTACGGCGTAAAGTTCCATTCTAACTCGTCCAGACCCTTGCTGTACACGTTTAGGGGCTGCGAGATTCCTCCGCTGAAGAACTGTGGTCCGCCCTCGCCGCCACCGAATAGTCGCGGGGGCGGCGCCAGCAGCAGTGTCTCCGGGAAGCTGGCGTCGCGCACGTAAAGGTCACGCAGTCCTGGCAGGCAGTTCGACATGAGCGACGAGATCAGGTACGTGTAGTAGGATGCAGCTACTGGCGGCAGGCCGTACGACCCCGCCGGCGAGGTGATCTCGTAGTGCAGTAATTGCAGCGACCGGGAAGACAGCGGCGGAACCCGGTCGGTCGGGAAGGACCGCGATACGTCCTGAATGACTGATAGGGCGTGTAGCTGCGGCGCAGCTGACAGGATCTGGTGCAGAGTGGACGGGAGCACCCCCGTCGCAGACAATGTCAAATATTGTAGTTCCATGCGGTTCAAAGGCAGGGAGAGAACGCCGGCAAGCCCGCTTGCCGTGACGTTCGGGGTATCGCGAAGGGTCAGCCGCTGGACGGCTGGGAAAGGAGGCAGAGTGTCGGAGAGGTCAAATGCCGAGTCATCCAGCCACGGCAGGTCGTCGAGGGTCAGGTCGCGGAGTTTAGGAAACGAGGCCAGCCCCATGCGAAGAAGCCGCGGCTCAATGTATAGTCGAGAGAGTTCCAGCACCTCCAAATTCTGCCACAGACGGGCTTCCGGCAGCTGCGAGAAACTGCCCTCGGCGCCGTGTCGATAGGTCATGCGACGCAAATCCGGACACCGTCCGATAAGCTCCTGCTTCAACGCCAGACACGACGCGTCATCGCTGTATATCCCCGCCGGCAGGTCAACGTAGCGTATATTAGGCGTCACGGAAATGGTGCGCGCAATCTCCGCCTTGCTGGCCTCGCGTGTCATGTACGGCATCCGTAGGGAGAGCACCATGCGCCCCAGGTCTCGTGAATCTCGGACAGTCTGCATGAACAGCTGCAAGCGTACTTGTGGGGCATCGATCGCTTCGCCGTTGCGGTCGAAGAAGGAGTGGCGTTTTCGTTTGGCGGCAAGTTGGACCTCAAGCTCGCAGTAGTGGACGGCGTCGATACGGACGTGAGCGTAACTATAACCAGCGATCAGCAGAGAGCGAAATTAAGGAACAAAGAAACTCACAGCAAAGCCCGAGCCTCCAGATACCACCGTTTACAGACCACGGCACAATGTGCCAGGTCGCGCATATCACAGAGCATGCAGCCATCCTCTGTCATCGACTCCTCGGAGGTATCATAGCTCGAATCAATGGTGTGCGGACACACATAGGTGAAGATGCGAGCCAGCAGCGGTCGGGGAAGCTTCTTTGTGAGGTCGAGGCCGGCGAAAGTGTGGTGGGAGTCAAGGCAAAGGTGGTCGTAGGAGGTGGCCACATTCCCCGCGCGGCTATGGCTCTTGGACCGCCTGCGAAGCCGGCTCAGTAAACCCATAGTGGTGAGCAGACAAGCGACATGGACAGTTGCAATGGACTGGAGGGAACGAGGAGCGAAGTTAAAAGGGGAGATGGAGCGGTGGAACAAAGAGACCGTTAAGGAGCCAGGAAGGCAGCGTGGGAAGGATGCAAAGGCGAGTGAATAATCAACGGCGCGGTGGTGATTGATTGGTGTCGGGAAAGCTGTGTGATGTGAAGTCGCTGCATGAACCCGCAGTTCGTCCCCATTCCAGCGCGTCGCTGGTCAAAGCCGGGGCCGAGCACCGTTTTTTTGAAACGCTTGATTGGCAATTGGCGCAGGACTCATCACATTAGCAAGCGAAATGAGGGGAGACATGTCCCCCAGTTGGTTCATATAAGGGGGGCAGGCGGGTGTTTCATGTTTGCCTCAGGGATTGCTTGGTGGTTGGCATTTTGGTCCCATTTGCCCCAGAGGGTCTCGGCGGAAATTGATCCCAATTCAACTCCCGACGCCGGTGGCTGCAGCAGGGCTGAAAGTGCACCACATAATGGCTGGAAAGGGTTGAAGGGTCTTTCCTCCAAGCTGATGAAATGTAGAATTAAGATCCAAGAATTGAGAGAGATTCTCGCGCGGTCCTCGACGCGTGACCCTAAAGAGTGCCACTAACCCGATGGGGTCATCAGCAATACTCCAACAGTCTATATATACCCTATAACAACTTACCAACTTACCTACCACTGCTGCATATCGTCAATAGAAAACTGCATCATGATTTAAAATAAGCTTATCCAGAACAGTCTCTGATCCATCGTCCTCTCCTGGCCACTCACCAAAAACAGGGCCCCGTCAACTACATCGCCATGACATCATGTCCAACAACCAGCCCTCAGGACAAATAAATAGCCATCATGCAGACAACCAAGCCAATTCACCTGGTACACTGCCAGGGTAGTCTATATTACAGTGTACATACTACTCCAGGCTATGCGACTTCCTAGACCTTACCTCTGCCACTCCAGACCCCTGCCACGTCCAACGCCACCCTCCCTATTCAACCGCATCAGCTTCATCCATTTCCAGCCCACAGCAGCTAAAATGGCAAACAACACTCAATACGGAGGCGATCCTCTCCCCGATGTGGGCGCCACCTATCCCTCTCAGAACAATCAATCCAAATCCGGCGAAGACGACTGGACAAAGCGTCCGCCCTACAGCATCCGCTCCCCTGAGGAATTCGGTCCCGTGAAATGGCGTGGGAAATGCCAATGCGGCCAGGTGACTTACCAACTAAGCCGGGACCGACCATTGAAGTCTAAATTCTGCCACTGTCGGGGCTGTCAAGTGACGCATGGTATGTCTGCCGTGTCGGTAGTTTCTTACTTACGAGGTAGTGGCTGAAACATGCTGACTGTGTAGGCGCGCCATTCCAATGGGCGGCTATTTTCCATAAATCTGATCTCGCTTTTACGAAGGGGGCTGAAGGCCTGTCGTTCTACTCCTCCACAAATGACACCCAGGAGTATAAGCTTCCGACTAAGGTGTATTGTTCCTATTGTCGATCCCCTATTATGGATGAGGGTCGGAACGTCTGCTTGATGTTTCCGCAGGCCATCGAGAGCGCTGATCATGATGAACATCGACAGCACTGGCGCGAAGCCTTTGAACCAGAGTGAGTGGTCCTTGGGGTGCCGGCTTAGATTGCATGATGCTTATGATGTCGTATAGGTGCCATATTTTCTACGGCAAGCGAGTCCTGGATATTCCAGATGGGAAGCCAAAGTGGTCGGGAATTGATGAGCAAAGTGATCTTTTGGATGAGCAAGGCCGCAAGAAGGAATGACTGGATGGGATAAATAGTAGGCCCCGGAGCCGGATGTAGATATACACGATCTTGCTTTTCTTTTTTAGTTAGCTGTCACGAAGTATGAGCAATGATTAGGCTTCAGCCTTGCCAGAAGTTCCCGAGCAGCTGATACTACCATCGGGCCAATAATATCGACTAGATTGAAAACATGTTCCTACTGTGTAAGTCCCCGTCCGGCTCTGAATCAGGGTGATCGACAGGGCTAGAGAACTCCGAGCAGTCATCACGAGCATGTGAGAGCCGGGAGACTGGCAACCATCCAGCTGCAGAGACCACGAGTGCAGCTATGCCAGCCAGCAGCTGACGACTTCAAGAATAATCCAGTCGATACCCCTGAAATTCAGCACGATGCCATCCTCATCGATCATCCGGGGTGTCAGTAGACACCAGGTTCATCCGCAAGACCTGGAGTGCAGGGCGGGGTCAGCCAGCCGTAGCCAGATAGCATCGCGAACATAGAATATAATATGCCGCGATACCACGATAGATGCTCTTCAGAGTAGGCTGCTTGTCAGATAAACACTGTACAATGTGGCCAAAAAGCAAATACACCGTGGTGGCTCTTCTCGCCGCACCGGCAGCAGCCGTCACACCGATATCCAACGATGAAATGAAAAACTTCCTCAGTCAAGGTGCTGTCGAGCTCGCTACACGCTATGCGCCTCTCTGGTTCTTCGGCCAAGCAGTGGACCAACCACCCTGTTATCCGACATGGGCTTTCGGCGGCTCACCCAATTCGTCGGACATCTACGACGCGGCTCACAAAACACCCGCTGCACCGCAGTGTGAGTATCCTGACGTTGGCTGTGGATGTCGCAAACCTGGAGTAGCAACAGGGAATCCTGGTCCTGCATTTCCCATCTACTACACGTTCAAGCAATGCAATGAGACCGATGTCCGGGTGGTGTATAACCTGTTCTATGAGAAGGACGGGGCCGAGGTGCTGGACCTGATTGACACTGGCCATGACTAGTAAGACACCGCGTAGCCTGCCCATTCTCGTTGAACAGGCAGTCTGACTTGGTCGACTAGTGACTGGGAACGAGTCGTCATCATCCATTCACGAAATGCGAACAACACCTGGCAACCCTCTCGCGCACTCCTGTCGGCCCATAGCGGCTACCATAACCTGGCCTGGGGCAGCATCCATAGCACTCTGACCACAGAGCAAATCAACGCTGGAGACGCTCGACAGCCCGATGGTGTCAAGAATAATGACCATCCAAAGGTGTATGTGTCGTGGTCGAAGCATGCACATTTCGATACCGTCTTGACTACCTGGGTAGATCCGCTGAGCCAGTCACTCGATAATGCATTTCGCAGCAATGACTGGTGGCATTTTGTCGACCAGAAGTACTATGTACGTTTCAGTATCCCTGATATCCCTGATCACAAAGTATAGAAGCTTACACCAGCAGATACGGTCGGATAACTCGACCGCAGCTGGAATAGCATTCAACAGTACGGACTGGGGGTCAGCGACAAGTAACCCGCCATATGTACAGGAGAGTGTATGCTCTGCGCCATAACCACCTCAGTTGTATATATTTTAGATGGTATACATGCAACACAGAACCTAATTGATGAGTAGACGATCGTACCAGAATGAGCCTGTAGCGTTGCAGCGATAAATAATCAACATCCATCCATCCCATCGGGAACCTGAAAATGACGTCGATGCGCGGTTCCCCACCAGAAATTCAATCCCTCACTCCAACAACATCACAACAACATTTTCATCAAACAATTCCTCACTCTTCCCACAGAACAGTAACTGTACGTCCTCCCTAATATACTACAATCCACTAAGACCACCCCTCTCCAATCCACCACCTTCCCTCCCTCCCTCCATCCCATCCCACCCGCAAACAACCCCCACCCACCACCCAACCCCGCAACCTCAAAACCTCAAAACCACACACAGCGAAAGCTAACAACCACTCCCATACCAGTGCCAACACAACACCTCAACAACAATGTCGTGGTACCAGAAAACCTTCACCCTCCCAGCCCGCTCACGCGGTAGCTACCTCATCACGGACGAGGTGCTCGAGCAACTGCCCGAGATCAAGAACTACAAGGTCGGCATGCTGAACCTGTTCGTGCAGCACACGAGCTGCGCGCTGTCACTGAACGAGAACTGGGATGATGATGTGCGCGCGGATATGAGCGATGCGCTGGATCGCATCGCTCCGTATGATAAGAAGGGAAATCTTTATAGACATTCGGCTGAGGGGGAGGATGATATGCCGGTGCGTTTTATCCTATCTTTGATTCTTCTGGGAGAGTAAGTGATTGGGGAAGGACTAATGGTGTTTGCAGGCTCATATCAAGTCCGCATTGATTGGCGCTTCGGTTACGATTCCCATCTCTAATGGTCGCTTGGCTACGGGTACGTGGCAGGGTATTTGGTACTTGGAGTTTAGGGCCATGAGACACTCCCGGAAGGTGGTTGCTACGATTCAGGGTGAGAAGGCTTGACTTGGTTGTGGTGGTGGTGGTGGTGGTGGGGGAGTGCTGTTGTGATTGCGGTGCGATGTGTAGAGTATCCGTACGTTTGGATATATCAGAGTATATCCTAAAAATTGAAATATTCAATCTAACAACTTCATTGACCTGGTACATCTGTACAACAGCCGTTGTGGCTAAAGGATAAAAACAAAACATCGTCAACGCCAATAAAATCAATCTTTACCGCTGCTCGAATCCACCCTCGGTCACACGCTGGCTCTCGTTCACCTCGGCGGCGTCACCGGTAGGCTCGAGAGGGTAGCTGGTGGCGGGGAGGGACTTGAGGTAGGCACGGTGTTGCTCGTGGGCCTGTACATTATTAGCACATATCATTAACACTAATTCAATGGCAACATACGAAGGGAAGACCGCAGTAGCCGCAGGTAGCAATCTCGGGCTTGTCGGTGTTGATGAAGACCTTGGGGTGGCCCAGGGGACCACCACCGCCGTCACAGCTAACGACACGCTTTTTCGTCCAGCGGACGGGCTGTCTGTGGATGAGCTCGATGGCAGCCAAGGGTTGGGGCTAAGAAATGTTAGCGTCTCTGGTGTTTTATATATCGATATTGCCGTGATCATGATATTCCCCGTCCGACACGACCAATTGACCGGAACCGAGCGGAGAAATTTATTGGCAACGCACCTGCAACTCCATTATCGTCTGCTCGAAGCGAGGACCAACCATGGCCTTCTCCTTCGGCTGCTGGCTGGCAGCCCAGGTGGTGGCCCGGTTGGGAGCCTGGAGGTGACGGGTGCGCTCGCCCGCCTCGGGTTCCTCCCTCAGGGGAGCATCCCAGCCGCCCATGGCGTCCACAGGAGTAGCATTGGTGCCAGAGACATTCGGCTTAGCGGTAGGCGGGGTCGGGTCGTTGGCAGGGATGAAGTTCTCGGAGAGGCGAGGGACGGTGGTCGAGTAGCTGGCCCGGGCGGCGAATCGGGGGGTGAAGGTGGAGGAGAGGGTCGCGACCCGGCTGCGGAAGCAGGGCAACATGCTGGGCAATTGAGGTCCGGAATGGGACGCGAGAGTAGCTGGCGGATGGAGCGGAGGTGAGGACGAAAGGACTCGGGTTGGAGAGAGATTGGATGAGGTTTCCAGTTTGCGGGAGCTGCTGCGCTTGAGCCGCCGGCCAATCGGCGGCGCTCCTGCGGCTGATGCGGTGGGATTCTGCCGCCTGGGAATTTCGGCTTTGCAATCACGGCCATTCTGCTGGCTGTCGTTCTTCAATTCTGGATGACTTCAATTTTTGCTTGTTTTTGACGGTTTTCGGTTTGCATTTACATTGTCTACACATTCGTCATGAGGGGCTCTCCTACCTCTGGCTCCAAGCCAGAGAAGACCATGTCTTCGCGGCTGCTGACCATGAAGGTATGTTTAGCAACATCACAATTTATTTTCTTTTTCCGTTTTAAGAATACTAACATAATGTCGTAGTTCATGCAACGTGCTGCTGCCACAAATGCTGCCCGTGAAACATCTCAGCCCGCATCCACCGACGAGTCCAAGGCCTCTACTCCCCCGAAGCGACAGAGATTGTCCACCGGCCCCGCTGAAAGTCCCATCGGCACTCCCAAGTCAGATCTCGAGGCGATCTCGGCTGCCCTTGCTGAGGAAGAGGAAAAACGGAAGGAAGCACTTGCACGCCAGGCTCAAGATTCCGGTGACACCGAATGGGTGCTCGACTATGGTGTGGCGGAGCCAGTTGCTCAGTATGCGCCGCCGCCATTCATTGTCGCGGATGGCTCGCTGGATGCAGACGACGATGACATGGCTGTCGGTGGCCGACAAGCATACGGCAATTTCAAACGAAAGAAGAAGACCGCGGTTTGTTTCATCACATGATACACATTAAACATTTTTCTGACATTCTGTAGACCGGTGAAACCGAGGCCGAGTCCGATGATGACGATGTTGATGCGATGATTAAGAAGGAAAGCAACAAGCCACACCGTGTCAAATTGTCACAACTTACAAGCATCTCTGGTGGAAGACATTCGACGATGGGCGACGATAAGAAACAGAAGAAGCGCAAACATAAATAAAGTACACTTGGAAAACCGACAAATCTGGAGACAAGTATGTTCCGGGCCTTGCTCGCCAGAAGATGAGATCCGACATTGCCTTACCAATAAGTCCCGTTAATCCTCGCTTGAGCGTGATCATGAGCCTGGTAGGCCTCATATGTTCGGTCGTGGTAGCCCGTCATGGGTGAATATGAGTACTGGTGGGCATCGGTACCACTCTTAGGCGCAGTGCCATACCATTGGTTTCTGCCAGGATATCTGTCTTTTGATCTATCATAGTCGACGACTGCATTCATATTTGGTTCTACTCTGTCGGCAGTGGGACCGTACAGATATCTGGCAGACTGCGTTGCTGACCTACGGACAGCAGGTTGGCCATTCGTGTACTGGTATGAGGACGTGTTATGCTGTCGGGTATTCTCTCCTGGCTGACATTGGGCTTGACGAGACTCTTCATCTCTTTCTTGGCGTTCCATGAGTTGTCTGCAAGATTCTTGGAGCTGCGCGTGTCTTCTGCGGCGCTCAAGCCAGGCCTCTTTTCCCAGCTCCAAGAGCTCACTCTTTGGGACTAGGTGAACTGCTTTCGTCAGCCCGATCACTTTGAGTACTTGCATTACATACCGCGCTTCTGTGGAATGTTCCCAGTGTACTGCTGACGACGGGTCTGAAGGGTGGTATTATACTGTCTTTTGGGGTCGATTGGCCGGTATCCTTGCTGGTAAACGTTGGGAGGAAGCGATGAGCTATCTGCACGCTGCTCTCGTCTGCGGTATAGCGTAGGACTTCGCTCGTCCACCTCCACCCAGTATTCCAATTCATCGAAGCAGAAGCACATCTTTAGCGCGTATTCTAGATACCAGCTATAGTACCTGACCTAGTCATCACTCGTCAGTAGTCATCCACAGATTCAATTCAACACATTCATACATACTCCTTCGCACCAAATGCACTATCTTGTAAAGCTCTGTACTCGAATGCTAAAAGCGAGATATTCATTCAGTCACACCCTTCCTGTGCAGTGAGTAGAGGTGAAGGGAAATTTCTCTCAGTGAAATTGATCATGATGTGAGCGTGGGACTGAACGCCGAGAACCAGCTATACCTCCCTAGGCAGTCACCAACAGGTGTTCCAGGCGACGACTAAGCAATCCGGCGTTATCACCAGCATGTAATATCATTAACACGAAGCATACAGCTTACATCCAGTACCAGCACCAGCACACCAATTCACACCCACCAACCCTACCCCCATAACCACAGCTATATCTATACCTACAACTTCGCCTTCACCTCCCTCTCCCTCTTCTCCCACCCCCTCTTCAACCAGAAATTCACCCCCAAATTCCACATCGCAACCGCCACACCCACCGGCGGCACCAACCACAACATCCAAGCCCACCACTGCGGCGTACTCTTCCTGACCACCCTCATCGCCCTCTGCACCTCACTCTCCAACTCCCCCTTATCCCCATCATTCCACACCACCACGCCCCTCGCCGACTTCACCCCCCGATACTCGGCCCTCTCCACCTTCCCCTTCACATCCCCCTGACTCCTCACTCGATTCTCTGCATCCTCCGCCGTAAGATGCGCATCCCTCTTCCTCAACCTCTCCATCTGCACCGTCGGATCCGAAACCCCCACCACCATCACCGTCCCACACAGCAGATCCATCCCGCTCTCAAACAGCAACGGCACATCCAGGACCACCGCCCAGTGGCCGCGCACGTAGTAGTATAGCAGCGCTTTGTAGACCTCGCGCCGTACGGCCGGGTGCACAATCTTGTTGAGGATGGCGCGGTCTCGCTTACGAGCTTCGGTGGTGCCGAAGACGCGACGGCCTAGTGCTGGGCGGTTGAGGGGGCGGTTTGTGGTTGTTGTGTCATTGGGATTGGATGCTGGGAGGAGGAGATCCGGGGTGGTTGGGCCGAAGTAGTTCACGATGGCTTTGTAGCCTGGGGTGCCGGGCTCGACGACTTTGCGGGCGATAAGGTCGGTGTCGATGATGGGGAGGGAGTAGGGTGCTGCGGAGAGGATGGAGGAGACGGTGGATTTGCCGGTCGCGATGGAGCCGGTGAGGCCTATAATGAGCATTTTGGTTGTTCTTTGTGTTGTTTACAGAGTAAAGGTGATGTTTCGTGGAATGTTAGGTGGGAGATGTAAGTTGGAGAAAGTTGGTGGTGATCTGCGGGGAGAGCTGCAACTTGGACCGAGGCCAAGATTACTACCCGCTGGATTGATTAATTCAAACACAAGTTTCTGGTCTGTTGATGAACGTTCAATGCGTCAGAATTATTTCGTGTCTAAATAGTCTATCGTAAATATTATACAGGAAGAGAATTTTTTCCTCTCGTTTCATAAACCCAATTGCAATCCCACGGCAGGGAGCCCTCTCTAGTACCTCCACGCTTGGGATATTGTACCTGTCAACTTCTCGCGTTCCTCCCAGCCGATCCTGCCGTCTGCCTCGCTTCAATCATCATGAACACAATATAGGTAATCGCGCGATATCAATAACAGTCGGAGGGAATTCGAATGTTTTTCTGGAAGGCAGTGAAGAGTTTCCGGTCCTTGTTCCCCATTCTCAGGAGTCGGATTGTCCGGCTCCTGAACAGAGTTGAAGCGGTTTCTAGCGGACTGTGGTTTGGTGTTCTGTTAGCATGATTGCGCCCAAGTATATCTATCGAATCCATCTCACCTGGCCGCCCAATCAGCCAACTGCAGTTCCACACTTGTGGCAATTCTTGCCGGGGATGACCCAAACATCAGTCCCCTCTGAAAGACAATGGGGACATTTCATTCCGGGCATCTAGTATGTCATTAGCATCGGTCGCAAAGGATAATCACACATATAGCAACTCACAGGCATGGTGACGGCTTCGCAATGAGATCAACACAAGGAGGAACAGAAAGTATAAAGCTCTCAACCAGAGGATCAATTGTGATGTGATAGTAGTAATAATTGACTGAAGGGTATTCCAAGGATTATAGACTTGTTCTTCGACAGAGTTCACCTTGTCTGGGACACACTTTTTTTCCACTCCATGAACTTAATCTCATCGGTCCCGAGCATCCCACCTATATATAGCCAAAACTGGACTTGTTTGTGTCCCCCCCTCCCCCCTCCACCCCCCATTACGCCTCCTGGGGCAGGCGACCTATGTTCCCATCGGGAGATCTTCACCTTAGTCTGGACCGATTGATTGGAGACACGACCTGGCCGGACTCAATGCATCCAAAGATCAATCATACATGGACCCTGGTTAGGCAACATGTCATGTCCGCCGCAGCAATTATTCGGATGACTCGGATCTTCCCGTCGATGACTTGCATCTGGGGGTCCCAGCTAAGGGGAACCTCAACCAGGGAGGGTTTCAGCTCTCCTTACCTTGGTGTGATAGATACGTGTTGGGCTATACCGAAAATCGGCTAGGTGGGTGGGAAGAGTGAGTGATGCATGCCACAAGGGCTGAGATGTGAGCGATAAAGGAAAAAGGAAAGAGAGACGTGAACTATAGCAGCAGAGCAGGGGGGAAAGAGGGAGGGATTGGACAGGGAAAAGGTGACAGAGAAATTCCCACAAATCCCCGAAAGGACCACTCAGCATTTGAGATGCATACAACAGACCGTTTTATGCAAGCTACGACGGGGTTCTCGGTAACCGGGCCCTTGCTGTATGTCCTATGGCCAAAAGGGCAAATGGATTGTGACTGGTGTTGGGAAGGGCGAAAGGATCAATCTCTCCATCCCTAATCCCACACATCGTAGTGGACTCTCAGCACAAAAGATCAGCTCCGAATTTTACCATCTGATGCTAACAATGTATAGGTCACACTCAATCTAAATTGATGCTCGATGCGAGTACGCTACCGAGTTAGCGCCGGCTGCAGCCCGTCTCGCGCATATGGCGGGCTTCAGGACGCAATCCTCGATCTGCACAACCCACGGCGTTCCCAACAGCCACATTTGTGTTTCTCTCTGCATATCCTGATTTATGTGCTATGCCCATCTAGCTTCAAACGGGTGTCTGCTAATTACTCATGCAAGAGTTTCGTCGTTGTGCATGGTGTCGTACTCAATCAGCCGCAGGTTGTTGGCCGAGTGGGGAAAACAATAAAAAATTTCAGAAATAGAAGGAAATTTATCGTTCACTGACGCCTCAACCAATGATGTGGCTAGAACCCCTACAGCCCAAGGAGGCTGTCCAGCTGAGATCTGATCAGTGACACTCTGGTCCACTTGGAACCCGGCTGTACGAATCACCCACCCTCCCATGCGATCTGAGGCTGTTCTACATGCCGATTATTGGGAAGTCCTTCTTGTGGCATGGAAACTCATGGTGTAGAAAACGGCATTTCAACTCCTGCATATGAAGCCATATTGTTTGCTACATTCTGGCTGCCTGTCCCCTCATCTGCTATCGGACTAAGCACCAAGCACTAAGAGGACTGACGGGAGGGATGGTATGCCGATGCGCCAATGATCAGGCCGGATCAGTCAATTACACAACACAAAATCACCAGGCAATAATCTCGGGACCCTGTCTTCTGCACAGATCTATACCGATTGTTGGGAGTGGTCTATTCGTTAGATGTACCAGCGCTGCGAATGCAACGTGCAAGGGCTACCCTAGGTACTTCGACTGCGCTTCTACTCTTGCTTCTATGAGTCGTTTTTCATTTGCATGCGTGTTATGTATAGATTATTTTATTCTATTTTTGTTTCTGCGATTTCTTTTTTTTTTTTTCTTGTTTTGGCCTGATCTTCTCGTTCGTTCCGTACGAGTCTCGGGGTTATGTTGGCACCCCGACACAGGTGGCCGGTTTCAAGTCGCCGGTGGGACAGGTAAGTAAACGCACAACTTACTCTATCACAGTTCGGTGGATTAACCATCGCCAGACGTTGATCAGTCTATCACTCACGTCTTGGCCAGGAAAGCTCAGACCGACTTACGGCCGGTGATTCGCAGGCAGGAATTGGATACATATAAGCTGTGGAGCCCCTGACCTCGCTTGATGGGCCGAAGCGCGATCCGAATTATGCGGATAAGGATGGCTGATTGGGCGAGGTTATTCTCCGCTGTTTGTCCCCCTCGTCGACCCTGTTTTTTTCTTTCTTTCTTTGAAGCAGCCATGCAGCTGGCACAGTCACACTAATTCTTTCACCCCCGGGGCCAGTTCATCCCACTCCCTTTGCCTTCTTTCGGTGCTTCGAAGTGGCTCCGGACAAAGACTACGAGTCTAGCGCCAAATTGCCGGCCACGCTAGACCGGTAGTCGCCCTCCGAATACCGTAATTGGACACTAAAAGCAGCGTGATATTCATCGAATGTGACATGTCACACCCAGTAGATATGGGGGAAAGGAAGAGACCCGCTCCTGTCAAACAACGATGGCTAATCTAAGGAGATACGGAGTAGTAACATTATACTATCTATCTATCCATCCATCAGGATAGAATAGGGATAGATACTATTTACGGGGGACTACCAGTGAACTCTGCTCGGTAATCCACCAACCAACCAACCCAACCAGTCCCAGTCCCTCAAATCAACTATCTATCAATCCCCGCCCATTCCCATCAGTTCTGTTTCCCCTCTTTGTTTGCTTGCTTGTCCCATATTCCCGGAATCTATCCATCCATCCATCAAGCAGAAAGGAAACCCAGAATTGTCAAACCAAACCAAATCCATCCTGCCGCGCCATCATCATTCCCGAAACAAAGATCGCACAGTTAGGCTGCCATCATTGGGGACTCGCATCACGCTCACCGCAATTTATTTTTTTCTATTACCATTGATGCATTATAGCTCAGCAACAACAACAACAACAAAACTCTTCACCGCGCGCGCGTACCCACCGCCTGGGGGGCTTTTATTTTTTTATGGTCCCCGATATCCCTCATGTATAATATAATCATAATGTGATGTTCAAGATTGATAAACTTTCGAGCCAAATGCATCTTGCATACATACGGCGCCGTCCTGGGATATGTACATACATATCACCACCAGCTTACTTTCTTTTTTTTAAATTACTCAAAGGCGTGGTGGGGAGGGGGGAGGGGGAAAGGGCCCAGGTATGTGCATATGTAAGTCGTCCTCTTCTCGGCTTGCATGGGTCCGTCTGGCGGTCTCAGAAGAAAAAAAAAAGCCTTCGCCAGCTCGCCACAATTCCAGGATGGGGTAGGGGTAGGGGTCGGGGGTCGGGGTTCGTTCTTGCTCAAACGTCCTGCATTCGCTGACTGGTGAGACTGGTGATGTTATGTTTTTTTCTGCACTGAGTTGGTTCATTCACAGGGTTGTCGGTGACTACTTACTGACTGAACTGGCTGGTTTGAATGATCATTGCTTTCAGAGTGAAGCTTTTCCAATCCGCAGAGGTAAAATACTATCACCATCATTTCTAGTCGTGCGCAGTAAGCCTAATGATGCTACTGGATAGTACTTGTGTTGTACAAGCATTTCCGGCGGTCCTTTGAGTGATCTAAATCCCACCCACTTCATTGGATGGATATCTACTTACTACTTACCTTACCACGGGCGCATTGCATTGCGAACCATTCCTTTCTGTTTTTGTTCTGCAACCACTGCATGAAAATGAGTGCTTTAATTGCTAGAAATTGCCTCATACTGGTTACCCCTTGAAAAAGAAAACCCGCCGTGGCCAGCACAGCGGGTTTCCTGTAAGCTCACACACACACACACTCTCTCTCTCTCTCTCCACATGTGCAGACGCCATACATACATTCATTTCATGTACATTGATCATACAACCGGAGACGCGCGCGAATTTTTTATTTTCTCACCCTCCCTGCCTCGCGCTCCTGGCTTCCATCCATCCATCCTTCCTTTCCTTAGACCTGCTCGACTTGCTCGTCTGATACCCCGGCGACGACACTGTCCTGCTTTTTCTCCATGTTCTCGGAGCCGGTCTCGTCCGTGTGTCGCGTCAGTCGTTGGCCTGGTACATGGCCGTGTTGTTTTCGCTGTTTTACGAGCTCTTTGGACATTTGCACGGCGCTTTTTCCCGGGGTGGTGAATAGGTAGTCGATCTCCTCGAGGGTCAATTTGGCGGTTTCCGGGTAGCAGAAGTAAATTAGCGGGACGAAGGCGAAGTTCAGGCACATGAAGATGAGGTATGCTTTCCATTGCAGGCGGTTGATGATGATGGGGGTGATCATTACGACGAAGAAGTTCTTTTCATTTTCATGGTTGTTAGTAGTGGAAGGAGTATGGAATTACTAGTGACTTACCCAGATCCAGTTCGACGAGATACCCACGGCTGTTCCTTTGGCGCGCGCATGGAGGGGTAAGATCTCGGGCACGTAGCACCAGGGGATGCAGTTAACCGATGCGCCGAAGATGAGCATGTACACGAAGAAGAAGGCGACAGCAGCTGATGAAGTTGCATGCTCATTGGCGTGACCTTTGAAACTGAGCAGGATCGATACCATCATCATGCAGATGCCCAGGCCGAATGATCCCCAGATCATGGGAGCTCTGCGACCGACGCGATCCACGAAGAAGGTGGGGAATATACTTCCGACGACGAACATAATCTGAACACAGCCGCCGAGAAGATTGGAGAGGTTCTTGTCCAGGCCGACGTTGGTGTTGAGTACGGTGGGGATGTAGTATCTGGGTTTCATTAGCAAGTCTTTCAGGATTTTGCAAGCTGAGTTCTATGCCCAACATACACGACCATGTTGATACCACCCATCTGATTCATGAATTGCATACCGTATGCAAGAAGTCTGCGCGCTTATTAGCAGATGATTCGCGACAGATAAGACGCGAGACTTACACTCTATGGCCTGTGGAAACTTCATCCCGCTTGAAGACATTTCTGGTCTCGTCAGCTTGCATCAAATTGCGATGTTGTGGGTGGGCACATACCTCCACTTGTACTCCCCATATTTCGTCTCCACGGAAATAGCCTCGAGGATTTCTTCCTGCTCTGCTAGAATCTTCGGGTCGTCCTTTGGGCGCCCATACACATCACTTAAGATCTGCAGTGCTTCCTCGTTGCGACCTTCCTTGTAGCAGTACCTTGGCGATTCGGGCAGCCCGAACACCAGAACAATGACCACCTAGATAGATGATATGCATTAGCCAGAAACTCCAGTAAGACCAATGATGATATCTTACAAAAGCGAAAATCATCTGACACGCAATCGGCAATCTCCAAGCGATCTGACCACCAACATAGCTCATCCCGTAGTCGAAGAAGTAGCTATCAACCAGTGTCAGCATATCATCAAATGAAAATGACCACAAGTTGTAATGACCCGAAGGAAGGAAGAACATACCTAATAACAATCCCCACCCCAACCAACAACGGCTCACTACACACCAACTTCCCGCGCTTGCTCGCCTCACACAGTTCTGCCTGATACATCGGCACCGTCGACGTCTCCACGCCCGTTCCGATGCCCGTCACGAATCGTCCGACCATCATATGGGGGACGGAGAACGCGGAGCATTGGAGGGTTGCTCCGATCTATACCCATAGATATATTTCGTCTTAGCAAATCATATCACTAATGTATAAACGAATGGGGTAGCATACGATAACCCAAACCATAGCAAACCACATTGCCCGCCGGCGTCCCAGCCAATCGCCTAATAGGAAATTGACGATACAGCCGGCGAAACACCCTAGGTTGTAGATCGAGACGATGATCCCCTCCAGACTGTCGTTGGGGTGGTTCATGGTGGCCAGGAAGTCGTCGTTTTCCACGATGCCGGAGAAGACGCCTTGGTCGTAGCCTGGAGGGTTGATTGTTAGTTGGTTGGTTAGATAGGAGGATTGGGGGAAGGTTGGGATGAGGATATACCGAAGAGAATGAATGCCATGCCACAAGCCGCCCATATTGCGGCTTGGAGGACGAAGCCGGTGCCGAAGAGGTTGAATTTTGGCATTTTCTTTATCCCTATTCTAGTAGTTTACTAAAGTCGCATGTAGGGAGTTATGAGATTTATGTTCAATCTCTTGGGTTCAATTTTCCAGTCGGAAATGGGTCGATGCATCACTATATATGTACAGTGTAGGTAGTAGTGAGGGTATGTGTGACATCGGACAAACCCCGTCCACCCCCAGCCACGGCTCGAATTACTGAATCATGGAATAGTAGTAGAATCTCGGTAGTACCACCACCCCGATATGGCATGCAAGATCGTCAGTCGGCTGTGAAAGACACCCTCGTCATCGATCATGATGCTGATTCTTGGGCCAGTTACTCAAAAGGGAAGGTCGTGGCAATGATTACCCCGGATTGTTGGGGCGCTAGACCAAAATCGGATATGAGGGGGGAATATGACCCGGGGTTGGCGACGAGATCGGATGCTGCCGTGCCGTCTTGGATGGCCTTCGTTTTGTGGTGGTTTCTTGGGTTGGGTTTGGGGTTGCCGAGGGTTGACAGTAGACGTCATTTGGGTGGTCTGTGTGTGTGTGTGTGTGTGTGTGTGTGTGTGGATGAATGTTGGGATGGGGTGATGAGTGTGGAAGTGCGTTGGATACGTAGTACGTGATTTATACGGTGTATAACTGTGGTGATGGAAAAACTTGGAATAATATACAGCTGCATTGGTCCAGATTTCTCTATCTCTAGTGAGTAGTATCGATTGGAAGAGTATCATATGCTTAAGGAATATGAAGCCTTGACTATTGTATCTTCGTTTTAAGTTGTAGACGGACTTGGTAAGTTGAGCCACCGTCAAGATTGGAACTGGATATCTGCACGTGCTCAAGGCTTGTTTCTATATTCTTCAAAGTATTTCAAGCTTTCTTCTTCCCCATGGCGTATGTTTACTATGCTTGTGTACAAACCATTGCATGGGGGACATGTGTCTTCGCTGCACTCAATGGCAGAATCCATCATGGTTCAGAGCGAGTCAATTGACCTCGACGGATAATTTCAAATCCAAACCGTTTATTCCGGATCACTCCATGCTCCTTGATAATGATAGATGTTCACTTCAAGCACAATGACCTCGTTTTGCCAAAGACATCCAGTCACTTTCATCTCCATCTTCAGGATGCTACCCCGCATCCCGCTAAACCCGTTTCGGACCCCATGCGGAGCTGTGCTTCGGCTGTCGCTCTTTGCTTCTGCCGATTCCTTTCCTCATGATCTGATCACCACTTTGACGGCGCTCTCGGGAATCAAGGGGGCTTCGTTACTCAAAGCATCCTTCATATTTGGCTCTGACTAACCCGATGGACACTGAGCCTCACAACAAGCATCAGACTGACATGTTGGCACAACTGTTCGCCTCAGTAAGTGAAAGTTGTACCTTCCCTCTCGTCTGTAAATAATCGCTTGCTCACGATGTCTCATGATAGCATTGATAGTCTCTGTTACCCTTATGATTCAGCATCATCGGCATGGACGACACCACGTTCGGTGAACCACCCAGGAAGCGTGCGCGGACCACTTCTCTACAAGAGCAACCCGAGCCAGTATTTGCAGACAACAGTTCAAAATCGCCGGCATGGGACCAACTGCAGAGCCCTTACCACCTAGCAGACTACTATACTGATCAGCACAACTCTCCGACATTGCCGATCAGCAGTGACCCTTTTCAGTCACCAGCCGCTAGCTGGACCCAGGATGGCTTCTCGCAGGATCCCGGTTACCTAGCCTCACAGGAAGAGCTGCGATGCATCCTCTTCACTCTCGCAAACTCAACTGCTCCAACCCGAGTATCCAGCCCAGATGTTGTGGGAAGGTTTGAGTTAGCCGAACAATCACCACACTCGAAAAAATACCAGCCAGAGCGGAGAGGGGAGCTCTTGCAGTCTTCTTTGTCGAGCAGGAGGCGAATTGAATATTTGAAAAACTACGTGGCAGAAGTAGCACCTTGGGTATGTGCTGTGGATGACAACTTCTATCACTGCATGACTAAAGAAGGAACAGCTGGACATGTTCGACTCTCAGTGCACCTTTCGTCAGCAGGTTCCCGTGTTGGCTCGCTCCTTTCCCGCTCTTTCCTACGCCATGCTTGCCATTTCTGCTCGTCAGATCGAACGCAAGAATGGAGTTCGAAATTGGTTTGACAGCCTCGAATTGTACCAAGAAGCTATCAGACGACTGAGCCCGCTTCTTCAACTACGTGACCCGAAAATAGTAGCGGCATGTGTGCTTCTCTGTTGCTTGGAAATGATGTCTGCTCGTGCCCAGGATTGGCGTCGCCATCTCGAAGGCTGCGCCGCGTTGTTTGATGCGTTTGGAATCCACGGCTTCAGCCAGGGCATTCTACAGGCAGTTTTCTGGTGTTATGCTAGAATGGGTGAGTCTGAAGCTGCATTTTATCCCCCTTTCCTTCTTTTTTTTTTTTCATTCTTCTACTTTTTTACTGTATAATTCAATCTTTTCTGACCGGGGCAGATCTGTGCGGTGCGCTGATCTCAGATGGCACACAGACCACGCTGCTACATCCCTCTAAATGGCTTCCTGAAGGCTACCAGACAGAGGATGCACATCAGCTGTTTCAGAGTGTCAAGTCCCCTGATATGCATGCAAATTATGCGGTGTACTTGTGCGTCAAAGCGACTGAGCTGGTGTCCGACCGTACAAAGTTTGTGGAACTAGGTGAAGATAATGGGTGTACTCCGGATAGGTTCCGCACACGATGGCTCAGTCTTTGGAATGACCTACAATGCTGGTTCTCGGAGCGTCCTAGCGAGCTTCTTCCGGTGCAGACAGTCAATCGCAAGCCTTTCCCTCATATCCTGTTCGTCCACTGGGCTGCTATCTCGTCAAACCAACTGTACCACACTGCATGCATACTGTTGCTGAAGATGATGCCCAAGGATATTAGGCTTCCACGGTCGCAGACTTTGTTTCCTCTATGGCATGCTCGACGAATCTGTGGCATTTCCTTGGCAAACCCACACCAAGGGTGCTTGAACAACTCCATCCAGCCACTGTGGATTGCCGGACAGCTTTTCAGCCATGTTTCGGAGCATGAGGAGATCATCAGGTTGATCCAAAGCATCGAGGCTGAAACTGGCTGGGGAACCTGTTGGCGGATTCGGGATCTGGAGGTTGCCTGGGGTTGTTCTGGAATGAGATGAACACGACCCTTCATGCTAGAAACCATCAAGGAAAGACCAATCCTCTCGGAGTTGCGTCAAATATCCATCCAATTTCCATCCGGTGATATCGCGCACCCGCTCAAAGCCTTCCAAGATCTCCTGTTGCTGCGATTCATGTGTCATTCTTCTGGCAGCCACCAGGAATGAGGCTATCAGGCAAGGATCCCAAGATTCCCGACGGTCATTATTCAGTGCGATGCCACAGATACGCTGCGAATGCCACAGTGGTGACAAGGTTATTGACTGCAAGCCCAACATTGTTGTGCGTGGCTTACACTGCAGCAAAAGTAGCATGGCAGTATGGTACAACTGATTACAGAAGACACCCGTCCCGTTTGCGAACAGCAGCAGCGGAAAGCCGCTTTCGGCCTGGGCTAGTTGATCGTCAACACCCAAGTCCACCATAGGTTGGAATTCGTGTGGTCGCAGATGGTACCATTGCTCAATTGCATCAAAAACATCCAGCCAGCTATCCGGTAGCTGTTGTGGAGCTACAAACCGGCCGGGACTGGTCTGCTGGTGATATAGCAACAAAGCTTTTCCACACAGCCAGAGGAGGACATGGGCATACGCTCGGGTTCTTTCCCGGACTTCATCTATCCTTGATAGAATTGATAGGCTAGGTAATGGGAGCATCGGAAGTTGTGTCTCAATTGGTCTGTCGTTTGCGAGCGCTGCACTCAAGTCTAGTTTGGTCAGAAGAGCACATACATGCGTGGAGGTTTTGGGACGAACCTAAGCGGAAGAGCATCCAGTAGATAGATGACGCAATACCTGGATCCAGGGCTTGATGAGCCAATGGCTCAATATTCCATGTCCTCGGGTTCTGCATGTTCTTCCAAGTCTGAGCGATATCGGTGACAAGCCATCTTGTCTCTTCTAGCACCGCCGTCAAAGTATTCTCAGCAGTGAAAGTGAAGCTGTCCGACCACAGCGGACGAGTCCACTGATCTACATTGCTAAGATATGACGTTTGCTGATTCCCCATATTCTTATGGATAACGCAAGCATCGGAAAGTCCCAGCAGAGCTGTCATGAGCGGCTCCGAGCCGAGTGCCATCTGAACAGCAGCGATTCCGAATGGATGAGTGAGATCGCAAATATCGAGCTGCAAGTAATTTGTCAGTCTGCAACTCCACTAGACTGCGTTATACTTACCCATGGTGCTACATGGTACCGATAGTGACATATCAGCTTCAGCTTTGCCGTGTCTGTTATGGGATTGGCACTTAGGCTTGAAGGCAACCTCTCAGAAGACCCAACAAAGCTAGGTGCATGCTTCATCACGGCAGGCGTGCTAGCCACCAACTCAGAAGAGACAAATTCAGACCCACTCTTCTCATACCCTTTGTCCGGGGCAGCCCTATGAGTATTGACACCATCACTTGTTCCCAAAGCAAGAAGCCCGTGAACAGCAGATTTGTCCCTATCGCTGAATGCCTTATTGCCAACCAACGAAGAGTGCATGGCAGAAGAGCCATGCAGGCCATCATCACCAATATCAACCTCAGAACCGATTCTAGATGGAGCCAAGACAGTCTCATCTCCCGAGGCCCTCGCACCATCGCTTATACTATCCTCATCTACAACATCATCCCCACCCACCGTAGGATCCTCGTTGACAAACTGAATAGTCACGTCGTCAGCAACAATAGACATTAAAGCAATAATCTATCTTACTAACCTTGACCCATCTCCACCTCCCCTTCCTCTGCCGCTCTTCTCTCCGCACAACCCTCTCTTCTTTCTCATTCGACTTCACATTCGTACTCGTACAAAGCTCCCCCTCCGCAACAGTGAAGGTATTCTTCGGTAGAAATGTCACCTGAACCCCATAGCGACAAACCAGGTTCTTCTCGATACAATTCCGACACCGAGGTTTCGTCTCATCGCCTATATCAATCAGTATCATCAGCCACTTCCCAACAATCGATATAATAAAGGAAGAGAACATACACTTCCGCCTCCTAGTCCTACACCGCAAACACCCCGTTCGACACCGCGTAAACTTCGTAGTACGTCTTTCCTCATGATTTCGTTCTCCTGCTAATGCCCCCTTCTCAATGTCATCAATAGACGAAGGGGAAATAGATGTGTCCGCCATCACCTATCAGCAAACACCACAAATAGAACAAAAATAATAAGAGATGGTATGGGAGAGATAAGATAAGATTCTCAAGCTGTCCACAAGAAGAAAGAAGAAGACAGGAACTAGCTAAAACCTAAGCAGAGGCAGAAACAAAAAATAGCAATGATAATGAAGGTCGACCAGGTCCGCCCGCATCCGGGAACAGGAACCGCAAATGCGCGCGGGGTAAACTTTCCCAGCGCGTAGAGTTGCCTATTTCGGGTTGGGTGGGGGGTTATCTGTTTACCCCGGATTTTCTTGGCCTGGGGGGAAATTTAAGGTTGGACGTGTGTTGTTTCGTGTCATGTGTCAGGGGGTCTGAGTGTCAGATTATTTTTGACTGTAAGGAATTGCTGGTTACTCTTGTTATCTAGTAAAGACTCAACGGAGTCATTTGCGTTGCAATAAGGCTTTTCAAGGAAATAAAAAAAAATGCAACGGCCGCACCTCGAATGGAATATAATTTCAGTTTAAAAGTCTTGTCTTGTCTTGTCTCGTCTTGAGAATCTTAATACATAGAAAGAAAAGATACCGCCTCTAACTCTGGCTATATGCTGAGTAAACACTGTGGACACTCTCAGATGTAATGTAAACGAAATGGTCTTCTCTTTGAATCTGCTCGGAGGTAGTGCTCTCAGCTGTACTTCTTGGTGATGTGTACGAGGAGAGCGCCTTCTGTTGGGGCTCCAGTACTGTCGTACAGGTGAATGATCCGGTAACCCTCTTGGAGTCGATCTAGTCGAATGCATGCCCATGCGGCCAGCGCGTTATGCATCCATTCGTTGTCCTTGATTTTGAATCTGTCTGCGTTTAGCAAGTACACATACACCTAGTATGATTATGGGAAAGTGACTCACCTAACAAATGTCAATTCATCGAGGAAGCCCGAAACGGTCGCAAACTCCATCTTCTGACTGCCAAAATCGGGGTTTACGCCGGTAACGCTCTTCGTGCAATGCTTATACCCGGTCTTTTCGGATTCAGTGTCGTCTTCAGATGCGGCAAAGCTGTCATCTGGTGTTTCCACGTGGAGGAGACAAGTCACGAAGGGGTAGAATTTGTTTTCGTTAGTGTGGCCGGTCGGCAGTGGGATGTTTTGGCCAGCCAGGAACTCAATAGTCAGATCCAGTCGGCGAGGTTCGATAATTCCAGGCTGCGCATCGGAGCCACGATATCCTGGAGGCTTGAGCACCCAACCTTGCTCCCCTGCGAACATTCCTGAATTGAGCATCATCGCTTTGTCGAAGTTTTGCCAGTTCAGAGCTACCATCTGGGCACCACGCCGCCAGAAGAAGGTCGGGTCCATGTTGGAGGAGTCAACTCGCAAGCCATTGGGATAGACGCGCATGAAGAAGTGCCGGTTGTGCTCGAACAACGCGTCGCCGTCGGTAGCATGTGCTTCTCGAACGGCTTTCTCGGACAATGAAAACACATGGCTGGGAACCTTGGCCTCTGTTGTAAGTCAGTCAGTGATGCCGTTCTTTACGAGTTAAGAAGTATTACGTGCACTACAACATACCTGGCTGTGCAAAGTTGTTAAAGTGGAATCCCTTGGTGAACACGGCCAGTTTGCTGAGCGCCTGCAGGATCTTGGAGGGCTTGTGTGGAGCTGCAGTGGGGGACTCCGGAGTCTCGGGAGTCTTGGAAGCCTCATCCGGACTCGTGGGACTTTTCTGTTGCTTCAAAGCCTCCATGTGCTGGGTATAAACTGCCTTCTCCTTTGCTTCACGGTCTCCACCTTCGTCCACGGATTCGACGTGCTTCACCTTAATCAGGATCTTCCTCTTCAAATCCTTTAGAGGCGGCGGCGGGACCGTGCCAGCTTCGAGTTCAGGCGTCACCTCGACCAACATCCCCTTCCATGCTTCTTCCATGATCTCGACCATAGTCTGCTGCTGTTCCAGGCAGGTATGTACTTCCAAACTAACAATAACTGGAAGGTCGCTTGCAACAAATGCGCTGTCTCGGATCGCATAGCAGACTTCGCGAAAGCTTGTCTCCCTAGTAAGCGTGTGACCATGCAACACTCGCGGCTCTGGTTTACCAGGTACCGGGATCGCGCTGCCAGACGCCTTGCTTTCGCCCGAGCTTCCGCTGCTCGTGGATGGCTTGTGATGCCCCAGGAAGCCTTCCAGTTTGCCAACCTCCTGGGAAAGGGCGCGCAGATGACGGTGGTTCTCAGTCATTTTCTTCAACTTTTCCCTCTTGGATCCACGACGGGGTTTACAGGAACTGATCTTCTCATCGTCGGAGCTCGGATTGCTACCACTGGTGGCACTGCTGTCGCCAGTTTCTTGGGAACCCTCACCCTCCGCTTTTCCATCCCAAACATCAATCTCGACGGATCTACATCCGCTAAGTAGGACCTGAGATGATCAGCTGTTGCTATCACGAATCCTTGGGAACTAGAAGAGTCATCGATGGGAGAGTTGGGCGCAACATGAGACCTTATTGATCTTGTTTCAGCATTTTCTGCTCTCAACGCATTCAAATTACGATGAAGAACCAGTCATACTGTGCCCCACCGTTCAACAGCGAAGACAAATCCACTAGTGGATGTTGATGACGGAGAGACATACATTTGTATAAGCACTTGCTTTCGATTCACTGTACAGCTGGTTTCCAGTCAAGTACGTATTGTGACTAGTGGAGATGAAATAGTCCGTAATGGGCGCTGAGAGGTCCATCTGGGTAGCAGCCCGCATTGCAGAGGCCTCTGGACTTGCCAAGTACTCGTAGAAGGCAGCCAGGGTCGCTAGTGGAGCTGGGTGCTCCTTGGTGGTTGACCCCTGGCCCGTTGGTTCACGTTGGACATCAGTCAAGAAATTAGGCTGATTCATCGAAGTCAACGAGCTGTAGATCTTGTCTATGTAGTTGAGCATGGATGGTGCAAAGGGAAGTGTTATCTTCTGATTGGACAGGGAAGAGTCCATGGTGATGCGACTGGTCTGGGCAGTGAGTTCGTCCATGGTTCCGACAATAGCAAGGTATGTGCTTCACAGAACAAAACCGAGTGATAGAATAGTCTGTTGGAATATAGGAATGTGTCGACTGGCCAAGTTACACGACGGTGGGGGTTGATAGTTATGGAGGGGCCTGATGATCGACACCGGCTGTGACACGGGTTCAGGGGAAGATCGGAGAACAATTCCAGCTGTCCTCAGGATGGGTAGATGTTGGGCACCGCCGGGAATAAGCGGGAAGTCGGGCTAAAGATGAAAGGTAATTGGGATTCTCTATAAGTAGTAGCGATGAGGTTAACGATAAGGAAGTGGAAGAAAGAAAGATGGAGAAGGGGGAGAGAGGTGTTGTTTCGTTGTTCGCTGAGTTTTAACCAGCTCCACATCCGCGTGGACACTTGGACGGGCTCGTTGGCGGTGACTGTATCATCTGCAACACTTCATAGGCTGCTGAGCTGGTGGAGGAGAGTGGGAGGCTGAGATGGATCCTGGCCTGTTCCGATTCAGGGGATCCCAGGCATACATACTATCTTGTAATCCCCAGGCAGTGACGAGTTGCTGGGAAGGTGGGTGATTCCAATTCCACTGCGGGGCAGGCCTTGTCAATGAGGAATGAACTCTAGTGTAAAACACGAGATCGCTTTCTTCTTGCCTTTCGCTGTGGACATCATCTCTGAGGTAAGCCGAGCGCCAGTTCAAAGCTGGACAGCGATGAAAGCGAAGCTGCGTCACGCCGGAAGAACAGAACAAAGCCATTCATCATTCCATCTCCAACAAATCACCATCCATGGAACGGTGATGTCATCAACATCCTGCCTCAGGTACCAGAGCTTACTATTTCCGTTCGGGACCAGATAATCTTTCTTTCTACTTCAACATTGTTTCCCGGACAGTCAACATGATGAGGAAGAGGGATCGATCAAGCTTGTCCCCTGAATAAGATCGGATCTAAACAACGGGTGCATCTTGAGATCTCCACAGTCCATAAGGCTGAGATCGAAATTTCCCCCACCCCGCTTCCGGTTAAGCTGCAAAAAAAATACATGCGACCGTGGTCCGCATCTGCCACAAATTTTTGATCGGTCAAATATTCACCACAAATATTGATCAATCTACCAGATACTAGTATTATCCCATATAACCTTTCTACCTCGAAGCTGGACTCTCTCCAGTAATCCCGGCAACACCGGAGCCCGCCTCTGACGCATTACCTCGGCTGGCCGATCTATCTCGTCCCGGCGTTGAGTTTTTGGAGCTCTGGGGAATTTTGCTGGGAATCGCTTACAATTTACATTGTTGTGGATGCTGGGGTAGTTCGATGAGCTCTAAATTCTATCACTGAATGAACTAGGACTCTTCTTTCACTCGTCAAGTCTTTCTACGGATACTCGGTCTATGACTCCGGGGATGAACTGGGGGACTGGCTTCAGGGAGTGGGTGAGTACAGTTGTGATGACTCGAAAGTCAAGGTTAGAAGATATATAGGCTGTGATTCCCTGTGAGCCGTACGCGACTCTGCTGACAGGCTAGTCTTTGCGGAACCCATAGTTGACATAAGGTCTAGAAGGTAAGTCCCGGTTGTATGTCGAAAGTAAAGTCCATTCAGCGCCTGATCTGGTGAATCAATATGAGTACAAGTCGCATAGAATACATTGAACATATCCCACAAAAGCATTTCTACACTCGTCAGCCACCACCACTGTACACAGCTAACATGTTGCAACCCCATCCAGCAAAGACCTCCCCCCAAGCGAATCGCACATTGCTGCATAAAATTTAGAGACCGCGCAAGAAGTTGTCCTCCCGGATACCCTTTCTCCGCGCCTCTCTGGCACTCCGTCTGATTTCGGTACGCTTGTCGAGACTCTCGGCAGCCGCTTCGAGCACATCCGCGGGGATAGCATCGGCGTTGTATGCAGCAGGGGTAATATCGGTAGCGTGATGGTGGATGGGGATCTGGGGAGGCAGGGTCGCAGCACGGGCGGCCATCTTCTTCTCGTAGCGCTTGCGCTGCTTCTTGTTCAAGGCTATAGGGAAACAAAATTAGCGGACCATCCCACGGAAGCAACACTACTCTATCAATGAAGGTTTCCATACTGCTCGGGTCAACACCGCCAGTTGCGGTCTTGTTCTTCTTGGAGTCGTCCAGCAACGACCACAGCCATTCGGGGTATTCCGCATCCTCCAGGGCCACAACGTCGGGCTTGTTCTTGAAGTAGTTGAGTCCGTTCATCTTCTGGCCAGCAGCGCAAGAGCTCGGGGGACGTTCCACAGCGGCCTTCTTGGGCTTCTCGGGGTTGACATCAGCGTGAACACCCTCCGGAGTGCTCAATGGTTGGGACACGCCAGGGGTGGCGGACGACACGGCCGACGGGATCGTGATATCGGCACCGGCAGGCTGACGGGGAGTTGGCGGAGGAGGAGTAGCCGATACGGTAGGCTTTCCATCACTGTAGTTGCGGAATTGGCTTCGCTGAATGGGAAATTGGCGTGCGCGTGACGGGATAGACAGCGTAACGGTCTGGGGCTGCTGTAGCCGGGACAAGATACCGGTGCGGCACCGTTGGCAGATCATTGTGGCGTGTTTGTGTTGTCTTGTGAAAAAAGGGGTATACTTGAAACAGATTGAAATGACTGCCGCGATCGAGTCCCAGCCAGCTTTTGAATCAGCGTAGTGCTGGAGTTTTAGAGTATGATGGCCGACGCGGAGCAGTTGTCGAGAAAACTGCGGCGGGAATTTGATGCCAAGCCGGAGGTATGGTCACGTGCTTATATGTGCTGAACCGCATTCCCATGTTAGCCACGCCTATACTGTCTCCTTTACCCTGTCTTGCCTTGAAAAAAATACAATTTTTGGGGAAATGATCCATACGGAATTGGACGAGCGGGCTTTTGAAGTCAAAGGTGTCACAGATGCCACTGCGCGTGCTCCGGTTATGAGTGTAGGGTCACGTGACTTGACGGATATGCTGAGAGAGCTTCACATCAAGAATGTCTTCAAACTTCCACTTTAGGAGACTATGTGACCTCAAATAGATATCGCATGGCTCATTTAATATCCACTTTTGGATACTCGGAGCCTCTTGTTCTTCAAGTTCGCCTCATCATCGTATTTGCATGATAATGCTAATATCACCAGAAGAATCAAGCATCATGTGGCTTCGAGGTGTGCCAAATGTGTGTACGACGGTCCATAAAGACGTTCTGACCATTTATCTGGGGGACAAATCAATATCATTTTCGTTTTGGACTATCGCAAAGTCTTTCCATTATGATTCCATCTAGTGTACCTGTTCATGAAGGTCTTTATCACGTGATATAGATTATGAGTAGTTGAGGCCTGAGGCAACCAGTATCAAATGTGAATGGTTAAGTTTCCAATTACCAGTTTGGGAAACAAGCTCAGCTTCTGGTTATGCCTTTAGTACTCCCCGTGGGGATCTTAGTAGAATTTTGTTTTGCGTCATTCTCTGACTGCAAATTCACAATTTTAGGCCTTATATCTGCGTGTAAACGATGAATCTACGCTGTACTTTTGGCAAGGCAGTATGAATATATATATTGACTTCCATTAGCGCTCGATACTTCCAGACCCTTAATTTATTACCTGGGTTTTCTGGCTCCATTCAGTTGTTGAGCCAGAAAATATCATTACGGATTATTAGCAATTGTTCTCACCTATCTTTATCATGAACTCTCAAACTGATTAAGATATCAAGTTCATGCTTGCTTCGGCACCATGAGAGGATATATCAAGTAGTAACGACTCGGCTAGCAGACAGTCAACAAATTTGCACATTGTAGTTCAGGGCAGGATGTTCGGCCGTAAGTTGAGTAGCATCTCACCATGAAAAAAACTTCATGCATGTGTACAGGACTGACGCAGTATGTCCTACTTTATTACGTACCTCTTTCACTAAATTCAGTCGCATCTCCTATCATAGCAATACAGAATCAACAGCCTTTCGTCAAAGACCAAGTTTATAAACTTGTTGCAAAGCCCAGTTTGACAATCGGACTACATGTTGTAGCAATGAAAGAATGTTAAACCCTGCTCTATACCGGATCATCAGATATATTTCAATGTTGGCGCCATTCCCGCTGCCTACCCCGTAGGCAGAAGTATACCCCGGTCACTCAAAACGCAAAGAGATCCAGGCTTACAGAGCACTGCAGTAGCAGGTACATCATCGGTTTGCTTTTCGAAAGCTTGTGCCATGCCATAAGTTCACGCATGCAGACAGTCCTTCAAACAGTGGCGCTGGATCAACGTCTGTGCACACATCAAACGGAGCATGCTACTGGTAGCTGCAGAATCGACTAAGGCAAGCTGCGCAAGCACTCAATCATCCAGATATCGCTTGTCTGACAGGGTGCTCGCAACTTGTTCGAACCTCTTATCAGTGCTAGTTGTCTCCTGTCCCTTCTGCCCGTATGACCCTCCATGCGGGATATTTAGCTCCTCAGCATCGGCGACTTTTGGGTTCGCTGTTGCATATGCTTTTTCGTCTCCAATACTGTCTAGGTGAACGATCTGTTGGCAGACAAAGAAATGAATCGCCGATGAGTCGCAGAGGGGTAAGATGGTCAGCGTGACTAAGCTTCCTCCGGGACGCCTTCTTGTTGTCTCTGTCTTTCGACACTCCCCCGCCTCTTACCTCTCGGATCTCGTACTAGGAGACTCTTGGGCTCAACTACACCTTGCACATCTTGGACAATGCCATCTTTTCTACGTTTAAAGTGAAAGCTCAACCATGCCGCAAGCCTCCTGAAACCCGTTCTTACAGATGACAGTTTTCGATCAACCTATGCTGGGTGAGGCTATCTGAATCGCAATAATTGAGATGCTTCCACTGAATTGACTAACATGAGTGATTTGCTAGCTTGAATTACAAAAACAGTGAGAAGTTTCAGAATGAGCCAAGAATGAGATTGTACAATGGCACATACACTATGCATTATGGGGATGGACATAAGTGGGGGATCCGACTCTATCATGCAAAAATCACAGGGTACTATGAACCTGCCGAGATTCCACAGTGCAACGAAAGCGAAATGGATATAAGAAAAGCAATAATGAAGTCAGGACTGGAGCCTGATTTTGGGCTCCCTCTGAAGAAAGGAAGAGACACAGGAAGAAGATATAATCACGCCAAGCGCCAATGATGAACAGAAAACAAGCATACGGCCTAAGAGGACAGACCGCTAACATTGAGGAAATTGCATAGGCTCACGCAAGCATCCTTCAGGGACTTTTCGGTCTTCCACTCAAGCTCGTCCTGCGACCTTGTGGCCACAGCGACACAGGAGCCAACATCGCCAGCGCGACGACCAGCAGCCTTTCTCGGGATAGGCTTGGAAGATACTGCTTCCATTGTGTTGACCACCTCCATCACGGAGTGGCCCCGACCGGTTCCCAGGTTGAAGGTACGGAAGTTCTCAACCAGCTTTCCACCATTGGCGGCGTTGAGTGCAGCAATGTGTCCCCTAGCAAGATCGGTGACATGGATGAAGTCGCGAACTGCAGTGCCATCTTCGGTGTCCCAGTCGGTGCCAAACATCTGCAGCTCCTTATACTGTCCGGTCATAACCTTTACGACAACCGGGAGAAGGTTCGTGGGCGTCTGCCTGGGATCCTCTCCCAGGAGCCCAGATTCGTCACATCCTATAGGGTTGAAATAGCGTAGAGCCACAATGGTCCATTCTGGATCAGAGGCCGCAAGGTCCGCTAATATCGCTTCACAGATCCATTTGGTGCGTCCATACGGGTTCGTAATACCCGTGCAGCCAGCCCTGACGATCTGCTCCTGACCGTCTTGATCACTGTAGACCTCTTCTTTATGGACACAGAGTTCTTCCTTCAAGGGAAGACCCGACGTGGCCAAGGTTCCGTACACCGTGGCGGAGGAGGAGAAGATGAAAGTTTTGATGCCAAATTCTCCCAGAGTTGTGGCAAAGTCGATGAGGCCACTAACATTGTTCGCGTAATACTTCAAAGGATTCTTGATACTCTCTTCCACGGCTTTATAAGCGGCAAAGTGAATGACGCCACCAATCCTGGACTTGGGAGTACCCCATCTGGATTGGATCTGATACTGCTCAAGAAGGCCTCTAAGAGCAGCGACATCCCGGAAATCATGGGCGTGGAGCTGCAACGACGGCATGCACGTCCCCTGCTCGTCATGGTACTTTGCCGCCAGTTGCCTGATGCGGTCGAAGACACTCTGGAAAGAGTTGCTGAGATTGTCGATCACAATTACATTATAGCCGGCCTTGAGTAGCTCCAATGTTGTGTGACTGCCGATGAACCCGAGACCCCCTGTGACGAGGATGTACTGATCGAGGGGAAAGTTGCGCAGCAACTCTTCCAGGTTGCCATCAAACAACACGGAAGATTGCGTCGCCGGTGTGTCCACACAACCAGGGGAGCAAGGCTCCACAGGAGTGCTTGCATCGGACTGTCGAGGGCTCTCCATAACTGATAGGGTCGAAGGATGAGGCACCGTTGGGGAACGATGCGGACAAAAATCACTTGGACAAACAAGAACAAGGAAACGAAAGGAAGATATTATTCTCCCACGAGAATTTATCGACCGCAGGTGACTCGACTTTGAACGGGATACCCAAAGAAAGGAGTTTCCCAAATCTTATATTTTTCCTCAAAACGAGCAACAGGCCCTTCCACTTGCGCGCCGATGTAACCGCTGTCTCTGGCCCGCTAGGTCAGGCGAAGATATCGTGATCCGTGACTTGCTTATTTACAACGAATCATAACCAGAATAAGCGAATGGATGCAGTAAAATGCAAAACCGGCGACAAAAAGAAATATATGGAAGGCTGGCTTCTGAAAAAAGACAAAAAGGCACAGGGAAAAGGAAAGAATGGAAAAAGAAACGAGCGAAACTAGAAGGAGAAAAAGCAAATATAAAGAGAGTGGACGATGTTGTCAGCGGTTGCTGCTTCGGTATGAGAACGGGGCCTAGAAGGCTTACTGGGTCATCGAAAACGGATTTCGCCTCCGCTGGGGGGAGGCATCGAGCGAACTCTGGTCGCCTCCACTGGAGCTGCAGGATGTACAATTGGTACGAGAAGGCGCTCTCGACCAGGGAAAAGAGAAATTGTTCTCTCCAGCTAATCCGAGACCTGATGCATGGTCGAAACCCTGCCCCGCTCTATTTTGGGCGCGCCGCATCCATACTCTTACTTTCGATTTTTTTTTTTATTTTCCCACTGCCCTCCTTACAATTGTTTAACCTCGCATTATCCAACAGCGACCAGGCTTGGAAACGCTGATGACTACTTAATTGTTAGTCTCCCGGCCGACTCTGGTCCAATTCCGCTATGGCCAGAGGGAGCCCACTTGCTAGCTCGTTTCGAACCCCCGAATTTTGGCGCGCACGGTTTCGAATTACATCGTTAGCTTCTCAAAGCCAGCAGAATGGGGCAAGGGGAACACGTGAGAGACCGGCGCTGCCTGCAAAGCCGGCGCTCGCGACTCATTCTGGCAATCCTTGTATTCATTGCCCTTCTCGCCGTCGTCATACCACCAGCAGTGGTGTTGACCCTACACAAATTCACCATGGGCCCTAAAGCGTCAGTTTTCGTACCGCTCTACGTCTACCCTGCACCGGGAGCATGGGATCCCTTAGAGAAGGTGTAGGTGCTACTTTTCCTTTTGTTGTCCCCTTCCCCATATCTCAACAAGCCCTCGCCAAATGTTAAAACCCCTCCCCCTTCCCCTTCCCCCCGCCAACCACATTGTACTCCCAGTCCATGCCCACGCTATCTGTCAGCCACCGGATGTCCCGCGGCACGATACAAGTAACCCTGATGTACGAAGGACGCAGCTGAACGCCACAGGATCTCTTCTCATCCCGACGTCAACTTCACCGTCGTGGTCAATCCTGGTAGTGGTCCAGGGCCCAACGCCTTGCCCGATGGCAATTACACACGAGAGATACCCAAGCTGGCGTCTTATGGCAATGTGCGCCTCCTGGGCTATGTTGCTACCACGTACGCGCAGCGCAACTTCTCGTTGGTGCGGCGGGACATTGAGACCTATGCGGCGTGGCCGACCAACAGTTCGAACCCCAATCTAGCGGTTCGGGGTATATTTTTCGACGAAACCCCCCAGCAATACGAAAACAATACCTTGGCCTACCTCCAAGATCTGACTGCTGTCGTGAAGACGACCGCCGGCCTGGGTCCGGACCATTATGTACGTGCAGAAGTCTCTCCCGTATTTTCATTATTTCATTACTAGGGGTAACGCCGGGTAATTTACACGATTACCAAATTTCGGCAGCTGGCATTTCCGCCCACTGGGTCATAGGCTTTGGCTGCCCCCTCAATGCATGGTCCTTTTTTACTTTTCTTGGAGCTTCTGTTCTCTGGCGCCTGTTCCTGCCGACCATTCTAATTCAGAGCCGTCGTTTGGATCGTCCGGATAGATCTGGATGGACGCCCACCATTGGCCAGAATTTTCCATGCTAACGAGACCCCCCCAACCAGGTCGTCCACAATCCCGGCACGATTCCTGATGCCCGCTACTTGCCGACGGCTGATTCGACTGTGGTCTTTGAGGCAACCTACGAGACGTTCTTGGAGCGTCAAGGGGCTAAGCTGTTTAAGGAGATCCCGAACAGTACTCGCAGCCAGCTGTGCGCTGTGGTCCACTCGGTGCCGGACAGCGTGGAAGGGCACAAATTCCGAGACCTGGTGAAGCAAGTGCGCAAGGTCGCAGATGAGATTTTCATCACTCATCTGGATACAGACTATTATGCGAGCTTTGGAAGCCAATGGGAGGAATTTGTGGAACTAATGGCTCGATCGTGAGGTGGCAGATGCCTGGTGCATATTATTTCTTGGTATATACAGTATTTATGACGTATATGATATAACAATCTGATCATTGAAGTACTTTTTCCTCCAACTCGAATGCAATGGTTGCGATGACACCAGTGTAACTGGATTCGGGATCTATTGCGCCAATTCCAAGGCATTCCTCCAGAGTTTTAGCTCAGGCAGAAACAAAGAAGCTAACTAACTACTAACTAGCTCCGAGACTTCCAAAGCCAGTGGTAGACTATCTTCTTTTCCATCTTCCAAGGAAGGATACATCCATTTCCCCCTCTTCAAACAAGGTACATGGTTAGTTTCCTTTACAACACATCCATAGTGGGGCCATTACCCACCCGTAAATTTCATTCTCCGCGGTCCCCGATCCGATTCAGAGCCACTACCGAATTCCAGCCCCACTGACCAAACCAGTCCAGAAAAGTCTGCCATTGCCCACTTTGTATCATGGTCAAACAGGGCTAACCACGAGTCAGAGGTAAGTGGATATGGATGATCTCATCGGTTAGATCTTTGGCTTTTTTCTTTTCTCTCCTATTTTCTTTCTTTCTCTTTTCTCTTTTCTGGTTTAGATGAGGTAGGGATCAATAGTTGGATGAGATGTGGTAAGTAGGTACAATGCATGCTGCATGCTGCATAAAGATGTGTAATTAGGTACATAGGTAGATAGGTAAGGTTCATGGAAAACCGAGAATTCCGAACCTTAGGATCATTAGGTGAATACTATGGCACTCGTATGTGATCGTGATAAATCGATTAGGTGCTTTTTTCTATACGAAGAGTGGCATGAGATGATATGAGAAATTTTCTACATGCGCACAGTAAGAAAAAGAAATACTAAATAAACAGCAGATGATCAGACCCCCAGGCTAACTTGCTGCATGTCTTGGATCATCTACTAATAGGAATACATTTCTCCTCGAGGCAAGTGGCATGGCATGGTAGGGCTTGAAGGAGACCCTACCGACATCCTTCCTTCGTATTCGGTAGATAGCTACGGGGTATATTGTTACCTATCATTTGAGAGTTACCTAGTTGGTTAAGATGTATGCTACAGTAGGTATGTGATTAGTATCAGAAAGAAGGAATGAAGAATGAATGGATGGATGCATTGATTGAGTTTTTCCGAGACCTGCATCACCAACAGACATCTGATCCATCCATCCATCTCCAATCTCCAGCTGTCGGGACTTCGGATTCCGTAGGATGTTGTGAGTATGCATATCCCGCTTCTAGTTGGTGTCTAGTCTACTAGTGATACTGATGTTTCACGTAACCATACAACATGGTAAAAATAACTCCATGCTGTCACACCGTCATCTAAGTAAGGTATGTTATGTATGTATGTTGTCGGATTACTCCGTTCCCATCATCGTTATCTTTATTTCAAGGGAAAAAACAGATATGTTTACTATGTGTGTATGTATGTATGTGGACGCCATGGGTGCACCGCAGAATAACATACATATACATATCAAGTGCCCTGCATATTGTGGCTGAATCTCCTCGCGCTGGGAGGGGCCAGAAATGTTCCGTTTGCGGGTCTTGGAAAACCGCACCCCCGTCCCCCTGCCCCGTCTCCCCCTGCCCCCTTGTCAGACATACATGTTATGTTTAGGGTTATTTTTGGATCGATCGGTTGGGCTTGACGGGAGGGGGAGGTTGGGTAGAAGTTGGATTTTTGATTACTACATGTGTAGATTAATTGTATGATATGGTGACTGATGAGATGAGATGAGATGAGATGAATGCGATGGGTTGAGTGCATTGGTACTGTAGGTTATTGCTTGGCAGGATTGCCACTGGCTCATTACACAGATACTATCTACTACCACTACTTACTGGTCAATACATGATCAGGTAGGATGACTCTCGTTACATCGCATCCGGAGTTAAGTTTCCTTCCCATTAATAGCAACTCTCTACTTCCTACATAGACTGTCGCACTTCCGCATAAGTCATCATCCTCTGTTCCTTTGTATAGTTATGGCCCATGAAAATTCAGCTTCCATGTTTCAACCCCTCTAATTTGACCCTAGACATCTACGGTGTAGACATAAATCAATGTCAACATGACAGTAGTAAAGAGTGATCTCGGCTAAGCTCGACGATCGTCTGTCAGCCATGTCGATCGATGAGCATTGAGTTTTAGTGGGGTTACTAAACCCTCACTAACACCCTAGTACTCTTCTCTAGCACGAACTTCGACCCTTCCATAAGGTAACACAAACTGCTCACGGCAGGGAATATATCAATTATGATCGGTCGGAGATAGTTTCTACAAGTGGAGCGAGTCTATAACATGGATTGAATGCAGTGTATCTTGATGTTGATTTCACTGCATAGAAATGACGGGTCATTCATGATACATTCCTCTTCCCGCGCGGAGAAATATATATCAGACTACCACTACCCCCCTAAATAGTAGTATAACGATTGTAACAGAGCTAGCACTCTATTAGAAGTAGGTAGTGGGGTTCAGAGTCATGAGCAGCCAGATGTAGAATCGATATTACTATTATTGCTTCAGCTGTCAAGTTTCCCGAGATTAAGGGATCATCTATCTAGATGAATCAGGGAAGCGGGAACTGCGGTTGTTTGAGATATTACTATCTTAGGAGTCAGTATACTACTAGGGTCTCTAAAATGTATTTCCGACACTACTTCCTATCCACCTGTCTATCTACTTAGGGCAATGAACTAATCTATTACTCTGTCATGTAGGTAATCTATCCGACACACTGTCATCGAATAAGCATATAATAGAGCGACTTAAGTCTAATGCAATTAATATGAATGATAGCTTGAGTCAACTAGCTCAAGCTAAGTTTACCTAACATCTCAACATGCTACATTTGGAGTATCATATCATGCCATTGACTCTATTATTACCTGCCTCCTAACTTGACACTCCTAGTGAGCCAGTCCAGTCCCCAACCAACTAACCAGCTAGTACAATGTAGTTAGTTAGCTGGTTAGTATTTTCTAGTGCTAACGCATGCATGCATGCATACAGCCCGCCTGCAGCTGTTCGTAGAAACAATCCCAATCAGAGCACAGCGGTGACCAGAACGCCAAGTCCACTCACTCACTCACACACACTTCCATGTTCTTCCAGCCCAATATTCTGTAAGTAAGGTCAAGATTTGAAATCCGCCCTCGCTTGGATTTCAGCGCCTTACTCAAGGAGACTAAACACGGAGAAGATCTAGAATCTAGACGGGATTGTTACCGAGCGCATTGACTTTCGTTCGTCCGTCCGTTTGTTTGCTTGCTCCCTTTACTCAACTAACTCACTAATTAGTTATCCAACTAGCCAGGAAAGGTCAACCACCGGTGGATGGTCAAATAAGTGGATGAACTATGCAGAGGAGGGAATTACCTCCGGCGCGAACTAAACCTCACCTAACTAACCAACGGAAGAGTGCCGTCAAACTCTTGAAAGGTTTTCATGTGTGAGAAGCCACTAAGTAAGTAGCTAACTAACTAACCAAACATGAGATTTGTTCAATGGTTCCTGAATTTTCTTGCTGGGCCCCACAACACACCGCCCACCCGGCGATCTTTGGCCCGAATGGGGATTGGAGAGTGGGGATTGAGTGGAAAAAGTCCGGTTCAGGAACAAGGCAAATCACTACTCTTTTTTTT